GAGCTACTTTGGGCACTCCTTTTGGTGCACATTCTGTTTGGTGCAGGTGGGATTTGTATAAAGATGCATGTATAACTGCCACCCTGCTTAGATGCAGAAGTAGAAGGTTTACCCCAACCTTACATAAGGAAATAATCAGAAGTCAAGAAAGGAAAAAATCCTGAACTGAGGTTTGCCACTGAGGATAATCATCTGAGCACATCCAGTGCTTTAAACTGTCTTAAATTGTGTGAAATATGAGGCTTAGGCATTTTGACAGGCTTCCTTTAAAATCTACAACAGTGGACTTGATTGCATCCACCACTTTGCTCAGATTTTGGCAGACAGGTCCAGCAACAGCCATGAGTGACACTATCCTCAGCCCAAGGAAGCTGAAGTACAGAGATGCTGCTTCCCTCTCCATGATATAAGAGGTAGATGGCATTGCCAGACAGGGTCAGCTCAGAGACTGTTTTCATTTAAGCCTCTGTGAATCAGTGAATGTCAACGACAGTGTATTTGCCACTGCGCAAACAGTGATTTTCACCTGTAGTACTCTTCAGATGCAATGTTTGAATGACCTGACCATGGAAGCACACTTGCACAACTGCCCCTTCTGACTTCCACAGTGGTCTGTCCTCTGGGGTCTCTGCTGTATGTCAGCTCACTTTTAGTCGGATTTTATTTTGACATTTGTATGAGGTGAAGAAGTCCAGTATGATAGGCATACGTTATATATATCAAGCAAGAAATATCTTTATTTGCTGAAGATGTGTGTTATTTCAGGATATATTCATTTAGTCTGATAAAAATGCCATTTCTATAGAAACAATTGATAAAGCAAACAACCAAGAGGAAATCCCATGCTAACTGTTAAGAACCAACATAATGCCTAGCCCTAGCAGATGCACTGCTAGAGATGAGTAAATACTCTGCTGTTTTGGGCTTTTAAAATATGTAACCTCTTCCCCTCACATGGTTAAATCAATTCACATAGAGCATGGATCCATGCTTTTTATTGGTGAGCACACGGAGGTTTGCTTTAAAATATCTTTGCTTTACATAGCCCTAGGAATCCAAGCAGCCTACAATCAGTGAGGTGCTTTTGTCACAGACAATGCTTTTGTGCTTCCACTCAGCAGGTAGGCCAGAGAACTGCAGAAAAAGCCACCCAAAGTTCTATGGGCGGATCACCATCTCTCCTTTTCTACTGTGCTCTCCCATCAGCTAGAGAGCTGCCATTGATTACTCACAATCCAGTTCTCACACATGCACATTTCTTCAGGAACACACATCCTTTTTTTTTTATTGCCACTTGAAACTCCTGCTGTGCTTTGCTGTGTGTGCTTCCCTGCTTTGCTGGTTTGGGCTCCGACTCTTCCAACTGGATTCCTGTGGAGAAAAGTGTTGATGTGCGCTGCAACCACTAATCTGAGGAACAATACATTACTGTCCCTTCCAAGCTCAAGGCTCAGACCCTTGCAGAATTGAACCTACAGCACAAATAGCAACTTGCTGCTGAATGTTTCTCCCATCAGTCTCAACTCCTTCTTACAAAGAAGAATTTGCAAGGTCTTGAATCTTGGATCTATTCTAACTTATCATCAATCCTCCAGTCCCAGGCAAACCTGTGCACTTCCCACCACTCTGCTTTTCAGCTACTCTGTTCCTGACTTTATTCTCTGTCTTAACTAATTTTTAGGATAACCCGTCTCCTTGGCCGTCTGCTTCTTAGGCAACTCATTGTAATATGCACCTTCTCTGCAACACATACTGTTGCAATTACATGTTTACTCTCTCTAATCTCACTAAGGCCACTGCCATATTGTCTTTGTTGTTATGATCCCTTCCATTTTACAGTTCAATGAGAAAGCATTTGGTTGTAGACTCTCATGCTTCTGTGCTTTGGAAGACCAAAAACATCTACCAGAGAGTCACATACAGCTTTTTGCTTGTGGCAAGCACAAAGAAAGGAGTGAGGAAGCATATTAGGGCTTATGACAAAACTGATGAACTTTTCACAAAACAGCTCTCCTCAAGTGAAGAATGTTTGAGTTTACCTCCAGTGACTCTTACAGATGCTCTGGTGGGAATTTCCCTGCCAGAATAGGTTAGCAGATTCATGCAAGCGTGTAGATACTTATAATTTATAGGATAAATATGAAGATGCAGAAACATGATTTATTGATAGAGCATGAGCTATATATAGCACTCTTAACTGTATTATTAAAACAAAAGGTAAATAATTAATGGAAGGAAGAAAAGATACATAAAGCACAGTCAGTCTTGACAGGAAGTATTCCTGTCTTGCAGTAATTAAGATTAAATATATTTGGAGCACATTTTTTTGTATCTTTCTGACAAAAAAGATTATTTGCTTACTTTGTGTACCCGTAAGAATCACTGTGTGTGGCTGCAGAACTTGTGCAGCCAACGTGAGCAAAACTGGAGAGGAGGGAAATGCTTACAGCTGCTCAGTTTGAACACCACTCTACGCTCAGGATAGAATTACCACCTGTGCATACTGACCAGTTACACCTGGTAAACCCTCAGTTTAGTTTCAGATTAGATACAACTAGTTTTTCTAAATCCAGTTCTGCCCATTCACGTGACAAGTATTGCAGAAAAGTACAGGCTTACTTCAGCAGAAAGCAAGAAACAAAGTTAAGTTTTTTATTAGAATCTGAGAATTACCCAGGCAAAGCAAAATTCTCCTAGCAACTGTTTACATATCTCATATACACATTTCTTGAGTTCAAGAGGAAAAGATGATGAGCAGATCAGCCCTAAGAACAGTAACTCAGACAGGGCCTGTGATGTCTCAGGCCATCTGCTTTGTTGAATTGATTCTGTTCAAGATACATACGGTCAAATATCCTGTAACAATATCAGGATATATATTTTCTCACTGGACATATAGTAACTTATTTACATCACTTCCAAACTAACAATTTTAGCAAGGTCAAAGTGACCTTACAAATAGTTATTAAATTCCCTGGAACAAGAACAGCTCAACCTCATTAGCGGCTGTCCAACAGTCTACACAGTCTCAACACTTAACTGGAAAACATTCCAGTGCAACCAGTGCCAAAGCTTTCCTGTCTTATTACCAAGTAACAGAACCCAAATGTCTTTCTGAGGCCCAAGGCAAATCATTCCTAAGTTTAGTACCAGCAAAGACTCAGAGTTGGAAAGGTCTATTCTCACCAGCACATGTGCCAAACTCTTCAGTAAAATCAATGCCCTCTTGTCTTGTCTAAAGATGAACAGTGCAATAAACTAAAATTTAAGTTCCACCTTTTGCTTCAGACAAAGATTTTAAAGCAGCACTACAAAGTCTTTACTGAGCCACAAGTGATAGTGCACAAAAGCCAACAATGCACCAAAGGGAATATTAAACTTGTCACTTCCAGACACCAGTCCTGTGAATCCACAGAATCCCATTGCTATCAGCAACATCAGACGGTTCTATGGAAAAGGTTTATAGGAACTGCTGCTCTTGAGTTTTAACTACAAAAAACTTGATCAGTTATTTCGAAGTGCATCTTACATCCCAAACCAGCAGAATCTGGAATGGCAAAACTAAGTGCAAGATGGTGGCAGGAGGGAAACAATTGATTTCAGTGAAATGGAGAATTGGACCTCATGTTTCTCAGTCACTGCTATTCCAGAATAGAACACATATGACTTCGATTTCAGTTCCTTAGGGAGTGCAAAGCAGAGCTCTACCATCTGATGAACTGCAGCCCGGCAGGGCAGTATCAGGGAAGCACTCTAAACCCTCTTGAGGCTCTCTTCTGATAATCTCCAAATGTAATTTAGAGTGGATCTATTTATTCCTCCTGCCAGGGCCACCTATAAGCACCAGTAGTAACTGCTCAAACACTCGTGCCAGAATCAGGCAGAAAAATGTCTGCTCAAGAGGACAGAATTGGGCTCACTCTAGGCTATTTAGTTGGTCTAACTGGGCATCATCAAGTGTTTTTGGTGGTTCCTACCTTAAGAAGTTCTTAATGATCTAAAGCAGGGCAGCCTTCAAATTCACCATCTCAGGAACAGTATTGCTCATCAGAAGACTCACAGCTGACAGAGATATTTTTGCCCAGTGTTTTCACAGAAAATTTCCACTTTGTATGAGTTCATCACTGGTTTGCTGCCACTGCTGCAAAGCTGGTTGTCTTTTGATAGGATTATGACTTATCCTAATTTCTATGGAGATTTGTGTCAAAATCGTGTCTGCCAACAGTTTTGCTGTAGCATCTAACACCGTCTTCTGAAGGGATAAAAAGACTGATGAGGACGTGTCACCCCTTACAGTACCACAGCACTCATGGCAAGTCCTCCCCATGCAGCTGGCCCACCTGACTCAGGATCTCCAGTCTACACACAGGTTAAAAAGCTGAAAGGTGGCCAAGCACCAATGCTTCTGGTAGGTACAACTGCTCTCCAGCAGTTTTTAATAGAAGCTGACGTGTATGAATAATAAATGAATATTCAGACATGAATAATAAATTATTGCTCCATTTATATAGCTTTGTGTATCCCTTCTCCTGAAACACCACCACTCTCGAGCACACAAACACCTCTTAATAACGAGAAGGCGCAGATGACACATTTACAGAGATGGCTTTCTGTATGTGTGGGCACACGTTTCCAGGAGCGAGAGCCCTGTAATTACACCTGAGGCGGGACGTGCCTTTGGACCGCACAAACCAAGAGGGATTTAGGGGAAATACTTCAGCGATGAGACCCCTTATCCACCATGCGCCACGCCGGAACACACGCAGCCACATCTCCTCCCCGGGCAGCAGAGATGCGGCATGGCCCGCTAGCCGCGTATCGGAGCTCCTGCGCGGGCGACGAGGGCACAAGGAGCCAGCGCCGCCGCTGAGGGCAGGGAAAATGGCGGCGCCCCGCCCCAGCCTGCGGAGGGAAGCGCGGGCGGAAGTGGCCGCGGAAGTAGCGCTGCGGCGCAGAGCGGAAGTGTTGGCGGAGCGCCGCGGGCCGGGTGCAGGTGAGTGGTGCCCGGGGCCGGCCCGCGCACTGGGCTGTAGCGGCACCGTGGGCCTCGGGACCGCTTCTCGGGCCTGTCTTCGCCTCAGCCGCTCCGCGGCCCCGCCGGACCTATGTCCCGACTGCCCCGAATGCTGGCTGCTGCGGGCTCCCGCTCTAACGGCCCTCTTCAGGTGCACTGTTAGGGCCTGGCTCAGCTCTAGAGGCGTGAGGGCACTTCGCCTCCTCAGCTTGGTAATAGCAAGTGTTACAGGCCTGCTTTGAGCCGTGCCGTGTGATGCTGTCACTGGCTGATAACCTAGAGCAGAGAAATTGTGCCTTTCTCTTGACAACTGGGCTGCCTCGGTGAGGCTGAGGTGTGACTGCTTCTCGCTTTAGTTCTGTATGTCAGCCAGCGAGGTCTGAGGTGTAAACCAGAAATACATTGGCTGGGGGCACTGGTATGGTAGCAGGATTTCTTCTTTGACCCAAACCTAATTTCTTTTGTAAAAGAATGCAGACTTGGATGTTGAATGCAAGTTAGGCTTGAAAATGGGGATAAAAACTGGAAGAGAATGTCCAATTTAGATTGGACGTTAGGAAGAAAATTGTTACAGAGAGGGTGGTGAGGCACTGGCACAGGTTACCCAGAGACGCAATCCCTGTGCCCCATTCCTGGAGACATTCGTGGTCACAGTGGACCGGGCTTTGAGCACCTGATGGAGCTGTAGGTGTCCCTGTTCATTGCAGGGGAGTTGGACTAGATGGCCTTCAAGGGTCTCTTCCTACTCAAATGATTCTGTGACAAGAAGATGACAACATTTAGAAATCGGCAGAATTCTTAGATGAATCTTTGTTTTTGCGTATAGTTGCTGCTTTTCCTTCTTTAACCCTTTCAGATTCATAGCTGTTGTGATTTAAATTATTCTCATGGGCTGTAGATCTCTACTGCTGCAGAAGGAAAAATGCATTGTAAATTCAGATGATCTAAAGAAAATAAAAATCAATATGATAGTGGCTTATATCAAGTAAGTGCATTTTTCTGTAGCCTGGTGGCAAATGTCAAAGTTCTTTTGCTGAAGTGTAGTAGCACTTAGCTCTGGACAAAGCTATGCTTGATTCTTGTGTTGCCTTACATCTGCTGAGGGTAGTGGCAGGGATGGATAACATGTGCCTCAGGTGCTTAAATGCTGCTCCAGGAGAGCCAGAGGTATTATATGTCTGTGCTTTTGTAAAGTAAGTGCAGTCTTTTGTGATGCACTGGTGATGCATTCATTTATGGGAGAGCCCCTTACTGCCCAATTGGCTTTCATCCTCAGGGTGAAGCTTTAGCTGAAATTGGTTAATCCAAGTGTGTCTTGGCAGTTGAAGCAAGCTGTTGCTTTGTTGCCCTCTGTGTTTTTACACCATTTTTTAGTTCAACCTCAACCAGTTTCCAGCTGTATTTGTAAAACTATCTGCAGGACCTGGCAGGCGTTTTAACGACTGTATCTGTGGGCAGTCCAAAGCATATCAGAAAAGTATATTTTGAGATTCTTAGTACAGACAGAGAATATAGCAGCAAATGATTGCGTGTCTGGTGCATGTAGGTGCTCGTGGTCTTTTCACTGCATTTCTGACCCCTTGCAGACCTCTCTAGGACAGCACCCCCCTGGGCTGTGTGTCAGATAGGTGATGGTTCCTTTAGACAAATAGCTTTTGTTCACTTAGCTTTTAAATAGCAGGCTTCAAGATTGGAGGTAACCAAACTGCATAGAGGTGGCATCAGTGCTGCTGATGAATACTGGTAGTTATTTTTCTTACATGTTTTCTTGGAGTGCTGATGGATAAGAATTGTGCTTTATGATGGCCAGGTAAGTGTTCCTAATGTTTTTTAATGGCCTTTGGTGGGTATGGAAACAGGTACTATTAGAAAGAAAACTATTTTCCTTACATTTTTTTAGCAGTCAAGTACAATTTGAACAATTTCTCTTTTGTTGGACTGTAGAAGAATCAAGTCAGAGGCCTTGGTTTTATTAAATTTCTAGACCCAGTTAGAACATGGAAATAGCACGTTTAAGTCTTCTATCTATTTGCTACACCAAAATAGTTGCCACCTCTGTATTACCATCTTATAACAACTTAGTTTTGGATGACTTTCTAACCTCTTAGGCAGCGACCGCAAAATTGTCTTCTTGTGACTAACAATTCTCAAGACAAATGAAAGCAGTTCCAAGCTCCAATTTATTTCTGAGTAATGTAATATGTGGAGACTCAGACAACTGTGTACGTGTGTCCCAGTGTGGAAGAATCCTCTCACAGAAAGGTTAGGAGCACACTTTACTTATAACTAGGCGTTTTGCGTCTGCTAATCCTACTGTCATTGTCCTCCTTTTGTCTTTGAAGCCCAGGATGACAGGGTATGAAACACTTGCCTTTTGATGCATGTGCTGCTGCTTAGGTGTATCAAAGAAGGACTTATCAACAGAAGTATGACCGTAGCAGCCCCTGTTAAGGCTGGCAGCTCCATAAATAAACAGCAAGTGCAGGTGCTTATACTTGGAGTACAAAAAAGGGAGCCATCTGCAGGAGCTGCAATTTTTGCTGTGTGTTTTGAGGGGCACTAGGATTCAAAGGAATGTTTTTGCCTTTTCAGCATTAGTCAGAACTGTGGTGACATCCCAGGTGTTTTTGCTATGTTTTGTGGCAAGATATCAGCATGCTCCAATCCCATCCTGCTCTGAAGTTGCCCCTCACTGGTGAGGGTGTTCCACAGCTGTCCTTGATGGTGTTGACAGAGAATTAAGGCATTTTCACTGTAGGCTGGAGAGAATTTTATGGTTCAGAGTGCATGGAGGAGTTCCCTTGCTGGTATCTGTGCCATATGTATGCTTGGTGTAAATGGAGGTTGTTGTTCTGGGACTCTTGAGCTGACAGCTTTCATTAAGGCCAGTGTGGTGAGATGTCTGATTTTTGAGTAACTAACTCATGGTGCTGGCATCATATGAAGAGGTCTCTTTCTGCAGTAATGAGTGCTGAAGTGAATGGAGTCCCTGGAAACTCAAAGCCTTGGAAAATTCACTTCAAGTTGGTGCACAAAGCTCTTAAATCTGTATGCTTTAAATTCATTTTTTGCACAAAAATTGGGACAGAAAAAAAGATTTTCAACAGGTCTCGTATTGTCATTGGTTTTGCTTGAAAGCTTTGATTAAAAAAAAAAAAAAAAAAAATCACCAAAAAGCTCTGAAACAAAAGAATACAAAACTATGAAACTGCCCAGATCTCTCTTAATTTAGCATTGATGTGGTGAGCAGCCCCATATCTAACTGAGGCTGATTAAGAATGGGATCACTAAAATTGGTATAAACGTTCCAAGCATTGGTCATAAATACTGCATGAGGGAGGTAATTCTTGTGTCTATCAGCATCCTTCCCAGAAGATATCTTCCCACATTCTTCACAATGAAAGATGATATTAGCACAAGACAAACAAAACATTGGTCTCAGGGCAGGCTGTGTCTTCATGGGAGTTGGACTTTGTTTTGGTCTGAGATTAAAACAGAGATTCACTTTGAAGCTTTGCGTTTTGTCGTGTGTACAGGCTGTCCACGTGGTGGATGATCATAGTTTAAAAAATCCACATCCATTTCCCTTTCCAATTTAACAGTAAATCATCACTGAGTCCCGATGGTCTTTTAAACATAGAAGAGATCAAATATGTACAAAATACTTCAAAATACCATGTGTGGGAGGGTGTCAAGTCTGCAGCATTAGTGGTGATCAGTGATTCAATTAGCATGAAATGTATTTGCAAACACTTTACTTGCTGTGTACGAGAGATGGATTGATGGTCCTGGGCTCTGGGAATGAGAGATGGAGAGTAAATTTGCAAGTATTTTCATGGCCGGTAGACCATGAAAGGTGGAAGAGTTGTCTTCCTCATACATTCTGATATGCACCAAGATACAGGTGTTTATAAATACTACTCCCGGCTTTCAACCCAGAACTGGTCTGAGCAGTGAATGGAAATGCTTGGAAATAGCATACCAGCACACCTCCTACCAGGATAAAGACAGTGAAATAGAGTGAACTAAAGCTGAAGTACTAAATGGGGAAGAAAAGCTTTTTGCCTATTAGGACATTGTTTAGCAGTGAAGAACCAGTAAACTGTTTGTCTGGGATGCTGGTACAATTAGTTGTGTCCTGGGGTGGTCGTGAGGGGCAGCTGCGGTATATACAGAAAGAGCAGAGCAGGACAAAAGTGAGTTGTTTTCCCTTATTGCTTCTATCCTCTCCCTAGGAAAGCCAGTTCTGTGACCAGTTTTCCTTGTGTTCAGTAGGTTCCATGTGAATGGTAAGTGGGATCAGCCCACAAAAACAAGACAAGATGTTCTCAAGACCAAAGCCTGGGGAGTCCGAAGCAGACCTGATACACTTTCAAAACCAGTTCCTGGCAGCCAGAGCTTCACCTGCAGTGAAGATTGTGAAGAAAGCAGACAAGAGGAAGGGAGAGGAAAGGAACTCAGATGCTGAGAGACCCCAGCTACAGGACAGCAAGGATGTGGTCATGCTGGACGGTAATTTCCCTTGTGGGGTTCTTTCATAATTACATGTATTTTTTTCTGTCTCTTTCAGTGTTCCTCTTTGCTTGCCCCCATCACCTCTCTCAGCTTGCTTTTTCCCCTGCGTGTGTCTTCCCTGCAATATTATTTATTCTTAGCCTCATTTGAAAATGCACATGTCCAATATTGGTGCCTCTGGTAGAACCACCTTTCCAACACACTGCCTTCAGCCCATGTATCAGCTGTCTGCAGTACTCCAACAATCCCACTGCAGGAGGTATTTCCTGTAATTTGCACTCGTTCAATTCCTGAGTGCTTATTTTACCACCTAGCCAGATCCTGCTCTTAGTGTCTCTGAGATTCAACTCTGCTAACAGTTCCAGCCAGCAGGCTATCTTGATAAGCCTCCTTCCTGTGTTTTTCTTTTCCTTCACCAGCAGTAACTGTAGCACTTGTCATGCACTTAATAGTTTCAAAAACTCAATATTGTTTCTTAAAAGCAACAATTTAAATCTTACAGTGCTTGTTTCCAGGTAAGAAAATATGATCCCTGTTTATGAACAGTGAAAAGCCTTGACTTGCTCCTGATCATGCTAATCATTCACTTGGAGCTGTCAGTGGAAGTGTGCTTTTCTGTGAGCACAAATTGCAAGGATACAATTTGTTTCTTGTATAGTTTTTTGCCTCTTCCTTTAATATTTGAAGTCAGGCCTGAATATACTTTCTCACTTACGCAGCCCTTTGAAATGGCCTTGATGCCAAAACATAAATAATAAAGCTCTTAGGCATATTGCTCTCCAATGCTCAGCACAAGTCAGAGATGAAACTTGTATAATTGTCTTACTGCTTCTTTTTCTTGTTTATTTCTTATCAGAGCAATAATATGTGCTGTTGAAGACTGTTTGGTCTGGTGCCTATTGTGCAGTAGTTATATATGAGTAACTTGGATCTTTTTTCCTTTTTATATTTTTTCTTTCCCCTCCACAGATTTTCCTGATATTCTCCCTGCTTTAACTCCTGGTCCTCCAAAAAAGTCCAAAATCAAAAGTGCCTGTGTCCACTTTGATGATGAAGATCCAGAGGAAAGACTAGAGAATCATGATCAACACATTACAGCAGTCTTCAGCAAAATCATTGTACGTCTAACTTTTATGTGATGCGTATTTTGAATGCTGTGAATTGAGTGGTGGCAGGGATGTAGAGTACTGTTTCTGCTTTTATCTCTGCAACATGATGAAGCAGTAGTAGCACAATAAACCAGCGTCCTGTAGCATTCTTGGGGAAAATTCCGAGTATATTTTTGCTGTCAGTTAAACATGGGTTTGAACCTGCTTTCCAGTTCAGACTGCCCACAGGTCATGCTGCTTGCGTGCAGCTGGGTGCTCTAGTATGAATTTGAGTGAAATTCTGATTCTCTAGTGGGGTGTTCTTGTTGCTGTGTGCTGGCCCAAATTTCCTTTTAGCTGAGTTTTCTGATGGTCAGTGGAGCTGGCAGCGCAGCCTTTTGGAAAATAGCTTTACTTTGGCTCTAAGTAAGCACAAGGTGTTCTGAATCTGATGGCTACATAGAATAATCTTGCAAACTGCTGAGCTGAGAGCTTAGTCTACTCTCAGCAAAATGGTACAAACGTGTCTGGCTATTGTGGTGGTTTTGAGTTGGATTTTTTTTGATGCAGGAGCGAGACACAAGTGCAGAAGCAGTAACCATGCCAGTGCCCACTGGAGACCCATTTCCAAGGATATTTCACCGTTCTGAGATAAAAAGTGAGGTAAGAGCAGGACCAGCTGTTCTATGCTGTCTTCATTAACTATTAAAACTTTCCCACTACAAAAGGCAATGCATGGTGAGTGATAGGACTCAGAATGCATGACTTAACATGCTAGAGATGAGAAGGTGGCTCAGCATCTTCATGGCATTGCTTTCTAGTATAGGAGAAAGTTCTCTTACAGAACTGCCATAAAGTAGGTAGTCTATACCCTTGTATAATCAATGAATATTAAGATGTTATAATTATGAAATAAACAAGAGAGTTAGGCAAAGCAGATTATAATAACACAAAGAGAATAGATAGGACACTTAACCCATATCCTGGGCTTGCTTATGAAACTCCAGCAGAGTGGTTCTCCAGAAGAGATCATTTCCCACTGGCAGTCAGCTCTTAAATGGGTCTAGGAGAGGTGTAGCCAGGCTCCACCCCTTCCAGCAGCACAGGTGAATTGCCTTCACCTCTGCTCACTGGCCGACTCATTGCTCACCTCAGGTGTTCAATCAGAGGTTCAGGCTGTGATTCAGCAGTTCCCATACAACCCTACAGTTAAATAATACTGGAATCCTTTCAGGTTAGGAAAAAAGGCAATCTCCTTCACATAACTTAAGCAGTAAATTTGAAGTAGGTTCAAATCTGCCCTGTTGTTTTTTGCTTTTCTTTGAGGAACAATCTCAGTGAATCTCAGTCTCAGCCCACCAGATTTGCATAAGTCTGTTCTTACTCAGGTTGCCTCTGATTCCTCCTGGAATGACACTTGAATGCAGTTGTATGGATTATCTTTTACAGTGTCTTGCATTTTGAGAAAACGTTTGTTCTAAGGCTGTAAAACTGAAACCTATGGCTGCTGTTGTCAGAATAGTTACTGTAATAGCAAGAACTGCTAGCTGAGTGGGAATCAAATGCTGGAAATTGAATGTCATTGATAGCTGCAGTTGCTTTAAAAAAAGAGTTTAGTTTGAAGGACAACTCTTTTGAGAGGAAAAAGTAGTACTTTTTAAAGCTACCAATTCTGTTTACGTGATGCAGGAGCGTACGAAGTAGCCATTAAACGTTAAGACTGCCTTTTAAGCTTCTTCTCTGGGCTGGGGATATGCAAGAGACTTTTTGCTCAGTGTGCTTTGGATTTCCTGTGTACCAAGCTGTTCAGAGCCTTGGTCTTCTATTGCTTAGGCGAGCAGCACAATAATTTAGTCAGGATTACTGTAGCACCACTTGCCCATTTCTTACTGTGTAAATCTTTTCACCCTGGTGCTCTCTAATCACCTTATAAGAAGCCTTTTCCAAGCATGTGGTGAGCACAGTACAGTACTGCTCCATTTATCCTCAGAAATGCAAAGTATTCATCTATGTGGGGTTTCTAAGCAGCAGGAGATCTGGAACTGTTATGTTTGGTGATATTTTAGGTATACTTTCCTGGCCTCAATTCACTTACGATTAATCATCTTTTCTCTCTAGGTAGCAAAAACATTCATATGTTTTATCTCTGTTCTAGCATTAAAATATTAAAATAGAATAGCACACATACAGAAAAGGGCAGGTGGCTGCCAGTAGCTTCTCCCATGTCACATCCCAAAGTGTTTTTTGAAAATGTCTTTAGGATCAGATCTATACACTTGTTAATGCCAGGTGTGTGGGGGAGTCTGAAGGAGAGTGGTGACACATAGCTTCCTTGTTTGCAGGTGAAGGTGGGATCTGGAAGAAAAAGCATCTTTGCACAAAAGATGGCAGCAAGAAGAGCTGCTGAAAAGCCAGCAACAGCTCCCTCTGCTGAGTGCACTCAAATAGCATCAGCTTCTCTGGACGTTCTGAATCCTGAGGGATCAGCAGAAGAGGCACCAGGGGCTAATTCCAGCAATGGGGACAGTAAGTGGAGAAGGTTCTGCTTATACAGCCTACTATACTTCCATAGCTTTAGTAACTGTTACATTACTGCACCTAGTCTTTAAGTCAGAGAAGCACTATTGTCCTTAGTTCAGAAACTGTGTTCACTTGGAAGATCTCTAACATGGCAAGGATTTGAAATGGCCAGAGATCCAAATTAAAATTGTAGAGATAGAGTAGCTGTATCACTCTTTTTTTTTTGTTGTTGTTTTTACACAGGGTCAAATAGATTTCTTTTTCAAGGCTTTTGCCCTCCTTTTCCTTTGTTTGTCACATGTAAAGTATTTCTTGTTCTGTCAGTAGTTTCTGCAATTTTTGGAGAAGGATTCATCTTGTGCATGACCTCTGATGCAGGTCCTCATTCTTACCTACCTAGAAATTGAAAGCTCAATCTTCCATCACTCTCTGCTGTGCTGTGAGACTGTCACATTGCTCCATAAGGAATGCTGTGAGGCAGCACTGATGAGTCAGTGCCACCTCCAGCAGTTATTTATCTGACAGCACTGTGACAAGGAAAGATGAAACCAATTCAAGTGGTACTGGCATCTCTAGGTGTGCAGGTGTCTTGGGCAGTCTTATCTGCTTAGGACCAATATGTCTGTCTTTTTCCCTGACATCCTCTTTTTCACATTGGAACGGATGCCAGATGTCGTCTGAAGGTTTTCACCATCTGAGTAAGGTTTCTGTTTATGCTGACCCCTCTCAGAATTGGTAAGAAAACCCTGAATCGTGCTGTGTGTGCACAGATCCACCATTGAGGTCCATTACTGTGTTTGCTATGTACCCTGTTACAAGTGTGCACATGTACTACTGTCTGAGAAACCCTTTGAGAAACAGTTGTCCTCTGGCTGTGACCCTCTTGAAGTCAGAGAACACTGATAGATGTATTAATACAACTGAGGGATCAGCAAATTGTGTGTCCTCCTCTGCCAAATTGCGGAGAAGAGTTTTTGAGAGAGGATTGCTAGAAGCCACAAAAGAAGAATAGCCATATTTCTTGTAGTGCCTGGTAGCAATCAGGTGAGTTGCTGAATGGTAAAAAGTTTAGTGAATCTCTTACCAGACCTTTCTGTCTTCTCATTTCTTTTTGTTCAGTATGCAAGACAACTGCTGTGGAAATGACATCAGACCTTAGTGCTGATTGAACAAGAGTTGATGTTTTCATGGGCTGGTTTAGGGTCACGGGTTATCCAGGTTGCTACGTGGAGCATGTGAAAACCCAAACAAAACAATATGTGGAATAAAGCTACAAAGACAAGTCCTTGTACAGTGGGCCAGCAAGAGAGTCTGGCTCAGTTTGACCAGAGGAACATGTTATCCTACCGCTATGGTTAAATGAAATGAGCCCTTAGATCAGGTGATAAAGGAGACTTGATTTTGTTCAGAGTAGGAGAAATATCTGCCCTTCTGCAGCTTCTGCTATGTTTAACCTTTAAAGTGAATACAGAAAGTTGCTAGAGGAAAGCTTGCCTGTTTTGGGGGTGGATTCTGTATCACACTGGAAACTGGGTTACACAGTACTTTTCATTCTCTTTCTTGCTCAGCAGGTACCAGTTCAGGTCTTCTTGGGCAGAGAAGGAAGCTAACTCAAAATAATATCCTGATTTGTGAATTATGCGTGAATTTACCTTTTGTTGCTTTGCTTTAAAGAAACAAAATATTTTCTTTTCTGTCCCTCTCCAACTCCTAAAGAAACAAGAAAGAAATGGTGTTTTATTGATACATGCGATGAAAACCTGAAAGCCCAGATCACTTAATTTTGTTTCCAGATAAGCTTCTTTGCACACTTTTTAATTTGGCTTCTAAGGTTTCAGTGCAGGCTTGCTAATGACAAAATCTAAATGACAGCATTATGAGCTCAATACTTAGTGACTAACTGCTTTATTTGCTGGATCTTTCAGATAAAGCTGATGACGTTTTCATCTCTCAGCGGCCTTGTATCATAACGGGAGAGGGGCTTGGATGTCAAAAGAGTGAGCAGGAAGCTCAGGCTATTCATGAAGAGAATTTAGAGAAACTACAGTCCATGTCCCAGGAAGAGATCCTGAAGGAGCAGGAAAGGCTTCTGGCTCAGCTTGGTATGTGCTTCTTGGAGTGAATTCTCCTAGAAGTATGAAAGCTTACTGTACACACTGGTGTCTTGAAACTTCAACAGATTTGCAGATCAAAGTTGGGAGCTTAGGATCACTAGTCATTGCATATGGAGATAGCTAAACCTCCATCTCATATCTGTATCATTGTGAATAAGAATCAAGTGTGAAGAAATTTGAGAGGAAGCTTAGTTGAAGACCGTCCCGTCTCGCCTTTGCTGTGGAATAAGATGGTCCATGCACACAGTTACTTTGCACATCTGATACCTGGCTACATGTATGTGTATTGAGGACCTAAAAGATAATTCTCTGAAGCAGATAAGAAAGATTGCCATAGTATGCCAAAAAATGCCAAAAATTATTGCCATTTAACTTCACTAATTATAACAATGGCATGTATATGAAAAATACCTTGTTTTTGCGCTTTCATTTTATGACTGATCTGTGACCTTTGCTCCTTGTCTGTACTGCTCAATCACTAACAGATTGTAGTGAGGCAAACACTTGGAGTTTAAAAAGGGAAGGATATATACTATTTTTTTTTTTCAATTGGTAGACCTCAGCTTATGTGCTGAACATAAACAGTTAAATGCCTCATTTGAAAACGAGTGACAGTTGGCAGAGAAGAAGGGATTTGTGGAATGGGATTCGAAAGACTAAAACGCAAATGGCAGGACGTAGATGTATCTGTAGATGTCTTAGGTATTTTGAGGCTGACACTTATCTGTCCGTCTCTTTGTCAATATTTGCAGATCCCAGTTTAGTTGCTTTCTTAAAGTCACGACGCAGTGGTAATGTAGGCCAGAAAAACGAAATAAAAATGGAACAGAACAGACCGGAGGAGTTTGTGGAATCTCTGACTGTGCCTCAGTGCGGTGTAGGAACGTCACTTGCCATGCAGGAGTCAGGTCTGGAAGAATCTGTAAGGAGGGATGAAAATATGAAAATGGAAATCACAGGTAAGACACGTAGTACGTATCGTTAATGTTCTGAACGTAAATGTAAGGTTTTTTATGGTGTTTGCATCGACCCAGATTAGAGTTCTGTGGAATTGTTAATTTGTTAATTATCCGAATCAGAATTTGATCATGATATTTAAAGATTTTTGAGTTCAAGGAAGAGCATTCTGGTTTCTAGCTGAGCTCTAGATTAGAAGGATGATGCACTACATAATGGAGGTGGTGAGCCATGCAGTAACAGGTCTTGCTTTATTTTGGAAACTTGTTCTGAGATCACTTGAAGGAAAATGTGTTTTAAAAGTAAGCATCGTTGCTGTTCTCGTTTAGTCATGTAAGCAGAGAAATAGAAGAGCGTGATATTCAAGCAGCACTTGATTCTCACTGATTTCTTTTCACTGGGACAGTTGGTGGGTCGATCTCCCTAAAAAGACTGGCTGTTGTGCTCACAGGATAGCATGGAGATGACAGCCCATTAAATAGCTCATATGGCACGTTTGTCTGAATGTGAGACTGCTCCTGGTGGCTCCACTGTGTGGCTTGTGTCGCAGAGCCCATGCAAACATTTCCAAAAGTTATGGTTCTTTCTTTTGTGTGCTGTGGATGGAAGGAGATGCTGACTTATTGAGAGTTCTTTTCTTTCAGAAGAATCGTACAGAGCTGTTGCATTTTACAACGATGTTCTAATACTCAATTTTACCTTGTATATTTTGATGATAGAAGAGTGGTGATGTATCTAAAAGAATGAAGATGTAGAAGTTTGTAGATGGGAATCTTTATCTTTGCCATCCAACTGGCAAGAGACCTGAGTGTGTCTGTATGCTCACTTTGATATCAGAATTGCATTCACTGAGGTTTGCGTGCCTGTGAATCTCCACGTTATTCACATCTCTTATTTTCCTTACTAAATGACACAAGGAGTCTTTGCTGAGTTACTAGAGGAGGATTTTACCTCTTGCTTAATTAACTACTTGTAAGTATTGACTTACTTCAGTTGTGCTAAGGAAGCCTGCACTGATGCTGTGTTGGATCTGCAGTTTCTATGCTTATGTGAGAAGAAAGCTGCTTTCTTGCAGGCAGCTACAACAGTCTTTGTGTTCTTCATGACAGCCCAAAGAAGCATTTATCCCTCATGTTTCTCTTATTGTTGCTTTCTTCTTTGGGTTTTTTTCTGGGGGTTGGACTCGATGATCTCTGGAGGTCCCTTCCAACCCCTACAATTCTGTGATTCTGTGATTCTTTCCTTAGTTAGGCTCCCACTCACATCTTCCAGAACACTTTTGTTTGTAGCGTGTGTGAAAGAAGCATCTCTTCTTTATTAGCATGCGTTTCTTCCAATTTCGTGTTAATCTTTGGCTGTCTTCATCTCTTGATTCTCTCTTCTGATGCATTTTTTGTCTCCCACTGCAACATGCAGTCTGATTAAAGAGGTCTCCAAATCTCTCTTGGATTTTAGCTTGGTGTTTGCAAGAGATAACAAGTGTTTACCATTTTCCTGATGGGAGGGATGAATCTGTGTGTGTGTGTGTACATGTGCAGGAGAAGGAAAGATGATTAGCCTTGTACTCAAGAAAACACTTTTGCTGTTTCTCCCAGGTCTCTGTTTTTCATGAACTCGCATTAATCAAAATAACAGGCTTTAATGCCTTTCCCAGAACAGTTGAGTGCAAAAGTAGCATCAGATTAAGTGACTTTCTCTTACTCATAGGAGCAATAGGAGTGGGCTGTTTAGCTGTAGAGACTGAACAAAATTGTAGTAGTGCTCTTCGAAAAGCTCAGTGTACAAAATGTGTGCTGATAACATCTTTTACTGCTACAAGACTGCAGACTGAAGAAGAAATGGAGTTTTCCTGGAATATTTGAAATAACAAAGAAAGAGTGATTTAGAATGCTGTTAGGAAACCAAGGGAAGCCTTTCTAGCCCATCTTGACCCACAGGAGACATAAAACATTAATTTGACTTTCTAAAAAGGTGTTGGGATTTTGCATTTGCTGGTGCCCAGAATTTAACTCATCTGAATAATCTGGCAGAAACAGTCATTCAGAATTTCTTAAGGATGAGGATGATGACACAAAAGAACAGGATTGCTCAAAAGTCAAACTTGCCTCTCTAATGAGATAAAAGGCAACTGTCTCTAATAAAGAAGACAGTAAAGCCTTTATGTAGCAACTTCTAATCTTATCAAATAGAAAAACAAACCCTGGCACCAAGACAAAAGGGAAAGCAAACAAGAAAAGGAAGCAGTTGGTTGGTAGTCTTTAATATAATGCAGCTCTGAAAAGTTCAGTACAGATTTTGCGTTCAAACTGCCAGCTGCTGTTTCTGTAAATGGTTTTCTCAGTAACTGAGCAATCTGCTGATGCCTTGGAATGTATGTCTGTCTTTCCTTGTTGACAAGATCAGAATGCTACAGGCTGATGATAATATGCGTAATCCTATTCATAGAATGATTATCCAGTTTAGTGATTAATGGAGAAGGAAAAAACTATTTATTGAATTACAAATGTCAATCGATCTCTTTTTTTTTTTTTTCCTGTTGATTTTTATTTCCTCTGGTTTTGCATCAACCACCTACAGACATTCCACTTTCTTACATATCAGATGCTTTTTTCCATCAATTAAAATGTGTGTTGAGCCTTTGGCTGAAATTCTGTGCAACAGCTTTCTGGCTGGGGAAGATAACTGTGTACTTGGTTCCTTGCCTGACTCACTGCCACGTTGATCATAAGGGTGAAGCTTCATCCTAGAAATGATGAGTGCCCTTTCTGAAAGTTTATTTGCTAATTGGAGGAAGGTAGAAAGTTGGGTTTCAGGCCATTTATCAGCAGGGAAATCTCTGATGAAAGAAGAGCATCTCAGTGGGACACTCTGTTGTTCACAAGAGAAAACAAGAGCATTAGGATTAACAGCTACAGTGCAAATGAATTCTGGTCTTGTTTTGCTCCAGTAGGAGTGATGATCGTGCTTTCCATGCCCTCAGTCCGCCTGCTTCTGTCACTGAGTGATTTCTCTTGAGATAGCAAGGACTTGTTAGTTCTCCTTTCTCACACCAGCCCGGGACAGTTTTGTACTAGCAAGGCATTAGCTGTGCTAGCATTTAGATAATTTCCACTTAAATCTCTCCTGCCCATTCACTTGTCATATTTTTCCATGTGCTGATCTTAGGGCAATTCTTGTGTTGTCAAGCAGAAATGTATTGTTTCTCAAATTGTTCTGGTCAAAACTCTTTGACAAGTTAAATCAGTCATTTCTTCCTGTAGTGCCTTCACCTCTGAGATCCTTGTTCAACTGCCCCATTTTCCCACTGGGCTGTTTCTCAGTTTCAGTCAATTTTTCTCTTATCATCATTATTATTATTATTTCTTTCCTTGCAAATTGATTTCCTCAGTTCTTTAGAGGGAGGCACAGAATAGAGAGTAGTAATGGAAGTGCCATGGAAGCATGAGTGGTAGCAGTGGTGTGCTCCCTTCAGTGTACCTAGGCTGACACTATCCTGGCTTCTTTAAAACCATATTTCGTGCCAGGCCAGTAATTCATTTAGCCTTCTTTGCATTGCTACTGTTCTTGACTCCCCTAATGCTTCCCTTCTTGAATGATACTCATTTAATTGGCAAAAGTAGAGCTGATATTTTCTGCCCTTGTTCTGAACATTTGGCCTTATTTGTGTCCCAACTTTCATTCAGTTTCACCCTAATTAGTGTTCTCTGTGGATTTTGTTACAGTGCTGCATAATTTCTCTTCTAGCTCTCTTGAAGGATGAAAACAGCTGTCTTTGATGTTTATGCATCAGTCAGCAGTTCGTTAGAAAATTGTTTTCTCCTTATTTTACATGGATCCTTTATTTGATATAGACTTTAAGCCAAGTGGGTTTTCAAGTAGGAAATTTGCGCAAGAACTTCTTTACAGTGAGGTGACGGAGCACTGGAACAGGCTGCCCAGGGAGGTGGTGGAGTCTCCTTCTCTGGAGATGTTCAAGACCTGCCTGGATGCCTCCCTGTGCGACCTGCTGTAGGGAACCTGCTTTGGCAGGGGGGTTGGACTCGATGATCTCTGGAGGTCCCTTCCAACCCCTACGATTCTGTGATTCTGTGAAATAGGATTTTCTTCATCTTTGCTCTGGAAGGTAAGGCTGTCATTTTCTCTCCCGAAGATGATGATCTGCCTGTGAAGCCAAGGAAAGAATGGATTCATATGGACAACGTGGAGTTTGAGAAGCTGGAGTGGATGAAAGATTTGCCTTCACCCCGGCAGAAGAAAACTAAAAAGGTTTAAAAGCAGAAACTGATTTTTTTTTCTTGTTTCTGAATTGTCTGGTTCATGTTTCTCACCAGTGACAATTTTGAAGTTTTCTTAAATAATCCCCTGGTTTCTCAATCTGAGAGATTTTGTAAGGCTGAGGGGAGACCCAGTGTTCTTCACAGGGTGGGATGCTATATGATCACTTTAGCCTATAGTGTCAAAGAGAGCTACGAAGTGAGAGTTTGATAACTCTCAGATGACCTGTGGTGAAACAGGTCTGAAAGCTAAGAAAAGAAAAAAAAAAAAAAGTGGAATAAATTTTTTTTTTTTTTTTTTTTTTTTTAAGAATCTGAGATCTGATTTGGGGAGTTTGTCAAATCAGCTGTTAGGTGACACCTCAGAAATTTTATGTGGTGAATAGAGTAAGGCAATAAAAATAATCTTTCTCTCCCTCCACCATTTTCTTTATGCCAGGGAATGCAAGCTCGATTCAGTTTAAAAGGAGACTTGATTCCTGCAGATGCTGATTTGCCTACTCATCTAGGTCTGCATCACCATGGAGAAGAGGCAGAGGTAGGTGTAATGAAGCAGAAAGGAAAGAGCACATCCATTTCCATTTTCTGTGTTTATTTTGTCAGATTCCTTTTGTGTCAAGTTGTTTTAGTGACAAAAACCTCAAGAAAGTGTAGATGGGTGGTTTCCTTTGGAAACAAGCTTCTGAAGCGAAGTTTAGTTGCCATGCACTAGCTTGCTTTCTTTGTTTTCAGACAACTCTGTTAATGTTTTTCTTCTTCAATGCCATTAAGGATCTGTGGTGATGGAAAACGAGTACACGTCCTTTTTTAAGTACAGTTTTCTCCCATTACGTCATTTATTGCAATCTCTTCTGCAATTGATGTGAAACAGCAAACAAAACTGTGTTGCAATTTATCTCCTGTTATGCACTATTTACAGCAAATCTTATTTTAAGGGGTCTGTTTTTGTCTATACTCGGTTGTTTGTTGTTTTTTTCTTTTCCTCCCCCATGTAGAGGGCTGGTTATTCTCTCCAAGAGCTCTTTCATTTGTCTCGCAGCCAACTTATTCAGCAGAGGACACTGGCCCTGCAGGTCTTGGGTCGTATTGTTCAAAAGGTAAGTCACTTCCATAGAACTCCACCCCATAGCTGACATTTCCACTGCATCAGGGTCCAGATTCTCTGATGCTAGTTGTTTGTCTTCTGTTTTAATGCAGGTGAACAAAATCACTGACAGAGTGTTTCTTTTTACACCAAAGATCTCACTGCTAAGAAAAGTTACAATGTTGGTACATAGCAAATTGAATTTCAGGATTCTCTGCAGGAAGAAGCTTTGTAGCTTTCAAGTGTTGCTCAGCAGCAGTGCTGCAATTTATGTTCTTCTGTTTCTTTGGACTGAGTTATTTTTACAGTGTTACTTCTGTGGCAAAAACTCCCATTTGCAGTGACCCTTTAGTTCTTGTTGCCTGAGCCAGCTATGTGATGTGATTGTTCTGTAGGTGGTGAAAATGAGCCAGCCTAATCTTACAGTGGAGGGCATAAAGCAATATGAATATTTAGCTCCACGCACTTGCCCACCCAACTCTTGGGGGAAGTGCTAACCTTCCCTTTAACAGCAGTGGAGGCTGAGATGAAGTAGCAGCATGATTTTGAGAAGAAAGATGGGGCAGAACAGGATGAAGTAATAATATGTGTCCAGACGACATAAGAAAGCAAGCTTTTCTGCATTAAAGAAGTGGAGTTGTATTTTCTCTTCTCCTCATTCTCTAGAGAGGCACAAAACAACTTTCCTAAAACCTGTTCTGTTGGAAACAGCTGACTTGCCTAAAGCAGCAGCAGCATCATTATGGTATAGTCGTAGACTACTCAAAGATGGAGTCCCACTATTGATCTAAGCAGAAAAGAACTTCTTGTCCTCCAAACCAAATAGGAAATATACCACAAATTTACAGAAATACCATAGGAATGTGCAATTATTCTCTTAGAACTTTTCTTTTTTTCTTGGCCTGGCCCTTGAGTCATAGAATTTTAAGTGGGAAGAGGTGTTTGTAGCATGCAAAGCAGGGTGTACATCCTGGCGGATTCCAGTCTGCACATTGTAATTGCACTTGGGGTATGTGACCCTTCACTTATGCAGAGAGAGAGTATGTAATGCAGAAACAGGAGCCATTCATCCATAGGCAATGTTCCCTAGAAATCAAAATGTTCTCTCGTTTATGTTATGAGCTCTTACCAATTTCTAACCTACTGTATGGGGCAGCGCTGGAATTTGGCAAATCTGCATCAGTTTGTGATGTCCTGAAGTTAGGTAGCATGGAAGACTCCTAACTGATGTAAACAGCAGGTGGTCAAAATCTGACTCAGGTGCCTAATTTTATGGTTTTTAAGTGGATTTTCCTGCATGGCTGGCACTGTAGGTCTTTGAGGATCCTTGAAGTCTTAAGCATTTCTTCTGTCCTTTTATATCACTACTTTGGACTGAATGATACAAAATTTTTCTGTCCCTGTAGATGGTTCTAAAGTTTCCTTGGAGAATACCCAGTAGAGCACTTGGTTGTGCTGACTGCACAGTGTAGCTGCTTTGCAGTAGAACTGGGAAGAGACAAACATGCAGATGTTAAATTGTACACAGTTGAGGTGAGACAGCTTTAACATCATCTCTGTATGGTATGTATACATTGCAGGCCAGGGCTGGAGAATTTGCTTCCTCCTTGAAGGGCAGTGTTCTGCGTCTGCTTCTCGATGCTGGATTTCTCTTCTTGCTACGCTTCTCTCTGGATGATGCTGTGGATAATGTCATGGCAGCATCTGTTGGTGCTCTCCGAGCTCTGCTGGTGTCATCTGATGATGAGGTGAGAAAATCATGACGTCCCTGGCTTTGGTTTCATTCTGAATCATCTGAATAATTTATAGAATCAGAATGAAAAGAGAGGTAAGTAACTTCTAAAAAAGCCTTGCTGGATGGGTTAGCTTAATGGTCAGTAGAATGCTATTTCTGTGCTTTGGGACAAAGGACTGTACTACTCAAATTCAAGAGATTCAGTCCTCTTTTCTCCTATTTAAATGAGTTCTACCTATGATTAAATTCAGTGCATACAGTTGTGCTAGTTCTCTTTCTTCTTGACACCTTTAAAATATAGAGCATGTTACTTCTAGCGTGTGTGTACGATTTATTTTTAATACAACCTCTTCTGTTGTTGTTCTGTTTTGCTGTGCAGTTTTCCTGCTTCTGAACAAATTAGTGACTAAGTATTATCCCTGCTTTGCTGCTTTGTCAGGCCTCACAGTAGTACTAGCCTCTCTCCATCATTGTCCATCATTTGTTGTTCTCACATACTTTTCTTTCACTATTGTATACCTATTTTTCCATTCTTATGGGTTTTTCTCCTTGATGCTTTTTCTCTTGTTAGAAAGCTGGAACTTCTTTTGGATGTTCAGATATACTGGACCTTGAACAGCAAGGTTAAAGAGTCTTCCTGGTTGAAAAGAAGCAGGCCATTGTGGGCAAAGCAGACTGTGGCCTGTGTTTCAGGTTCCTTTTATGTTAAGCTGCAAAGAGAATGGTGCTAGAAAAGAGTGGTTAGATCTCTAGAAGCCTACCATGCAGACCCAGAAATGGGAATGGAGCTAATAAACGTCAAATTCCAGTTTAACTTCTAGAGCCCTTGGTGGTTATTTATTTTTATTTTAAACATTTTTCAATTAAGCTGCATTTCTGTTCCTTGTCTAGTGAATTTAATTTGTGTCACATTAATTGCTTTTCATGATTTCCCAAGTGTCTGTGGGTCATAGATTAAAGTCACTTCTCTGAAAAATCATTTCATCTACTTGTAAATGTTTAGAGTATCCTTTATTGTGTTCCTATTTTCCTGAGTTAGGTGGAAATCCGTAAGGCATCCTGTAATTCTTTTTTTTTTTTTTTTTTTTTTTCTTCTTATGTGATCTCTTTGTGAGAGATTTTTGTGTGCTTTTACTCTCCTCATAGAAATATCTTGATTGCACTTTCTCATGGTACCAAGGGATGGCTGCATTCCCGTTTGTCCCCAACAATGAGGAAGAAGAAGAGGAAGAAGAAGAAGAAGAATTAACTGGAACAGAGAAGTCTCAGAATAAAAAACAAAAGGATGAAAACAAGCCAGATGCAGACGTAGCCCGTTACGACGTTGTAAAGGTAAGCACACAGCTTGGCCTGAAATCTTTCTGGAATAGACTGTGCACAGGGCTGTGTGCACTTGGGAAATGTGTACTCTTCTGTGTGTGTTAGTAGTGTTATGAACATAAACTAGAACATTTCCTTGGCTGTTGGATGTCCTGTTTCTGTCATACGTTATCAGTAGTGTGAATATATTAACCTCTAAAAATGTTGAGACTTGACCAGTGTGGTTTCATCATTAACTATCTCTAGCTTCCTGTAGGGAAATTGGCAACGAGCATGCTGATGACCATGGTTTGTTGAAAGATTGAATGCAGACATGATTTTCATGTTCGCTTACTTGAGCTTGAAGTGAAACAGTTCCAGACACTACTAAAGTTAAGCAAGAGAATTACAGCTGCATAGTTCTGAATTAGAATGGTACAATGCCATTCTCTTTGCATTTGATGCAATGACTACTTAGCATTTCCCTAATATCACTCTTCATGTTGCATCTCTCAGAATCAGTGTCGCATATGCCAGGGATGCGAAGTTTAGCTTAAATATGAGATCTAACAACAGTAATCTTTACCATCTCAAACTCCACCCTGCTGAAGCTGCTGTTGTTAAGGTCCGTGGTCGCATCTCTTAGTCTGTGTATTTGAATGGCAAATGGTTATAAACTTCAGTGGGCAAATGAATTACTGTACTTAGATATCTGGTTTCAGTTAGTGACTTTGTGAGTTCAGATTTGTTCTAATTGGCTGTGCTGCTTAAGAGGCTTAACAAAAGAGATGTAGATAAGAGATGAGGTCAGTTTGTCACTCTGCAAACAGTTACATGGTTTGAACTCAGAAGAGATTTGGCATAAAATTCTGTGTTGTTCCAGCTGTTGTGAAATAAATTCCATTTCACACCTGCTAATTGGTTGTTACATCCCAGCTCCACATATTGGAAAAATAATATTTAAACGAGCAGCTGAATCCAGTCAAACATAGAGCTTCCGACTTGCCTGGCTGCAACTTTTAAAAGTATCAGTCCTATGAACTCAAGTGTTGCACCTTTTCCCTAAACTAGAAGTGCATAACACTATCACTAAGATTGATTCTTACCATAGTCACTGATCTTCTGCTCTGTGAGCAATACAGAATCACATAATCCATCTGCATCTGTCTTTTTTTACTGCAGAATAGAAACTGGTATCTGTTCTCCACTTCTGTTAGCTTTCTCCAATGTGACAAGCACTGTCAGGACTAAAGAAAGAGTACTGTGTTAGATGAAGGTGGTGGCTAGCCAAAATGAATCGAAAGCCATGAGAACCCTTTTCAGCCACATTACATTTTAATAGTCATTTGTAGAGAGGTATTCCCTGCTACTTGCAGTTTCAAACTCTGGAGAACACAACTATCCAAAAAGCTCACTGGTGGTCTGATACAGAACAAAAGTTCAGATGTTCCTGCTCTGTTGGGCCAACTTTTGATTGTTTGCTAGCATACTAGCTTGCAAATCTACAGAAGCTTCTCTCTTCATTTCCCCAGTGGTAATTTTAATGCTTTCTATTTGCAAAAGATTTACGTGCATCTGCTTTTCCCTTCCTGCGACTGCTTCTCAGAGAGCAGTTAATAAGAGCATAATGAATATTTTTTTTCCTTCCAGGGACTTCTGAAGACACGGATTCAGCACCGGCTGAGGTATATCCTTGAGGTGGTACGACCTGTTCCAACGGTTGTCCTGGATATCCTGCACATCCTGACTCGCATAGCAAGGCACTCCTCTGAAGCATGCATCCAGGTAAATCTGTTATTGTACAGGAGGAATGGTAGGAAAGGATTTGAACAAGGGAAGAAAGAAGCAGATGAGGTTATGACAAGGAGATAAGACAAACTTGGGTGTTCTTTATGTATGGCTACTGGAATTGCATGCTTTCAGCTATTTGTGGTGCCTGCTATTTCTCTGCAGCTGCTTGACTGTCCTCGGTTGATTGAAACCATTGTCAGGGAATTTCTCCCTACTCGATGGGATCCTCATGTGGCTGAACCAGGATGTTTACTCACCAGTCTCCATGGAGTTGCTTGCGCTGCTGCTATGAAGTTCATCAGAGTATTGGCATCTGGAGGCAGAAGTGCAACAGCCAGGCTGGTGAGTGATTATCAAAGAGCTTTTCGGTTATCAAATACCATTGTTTTCCGTGCCTTGCTTCCTCACTAATGATGGATAATTAACTGGGGGTGGCTAAGCTGAAGAACGTGATTCAGACCTGACCAGTACATATGAAACTGGGAGATACGTGGTTAGGGTTCCTGTTTCAGTCTCCCTCTATGGTGAATGGAAGCAATAGGGCCACTTAAATGAGTAAGAGATTGAAGTATCTGACATACAGCTTTCAATCTTTCCCTGTAATTGCTTAGGCTTGGCAATAGAAAGCTGGTGATGATGTGTATTTTGTCGAGGGAGTAAAGAAAACAGCAAAATTTACCCTTTCAGTGGATATACTAATGAGAAGCAGTGAGCACAAGTTGAAATAAAAGACAGTTAAAAATAGAAATTTGCTTCTGAAGTGAAAGTGGTGAAACTAGCAAAAACAGGTTGCCCAAGGCTGCAGACTTCCCATCTGTGAAGAAATCCAAAACTCTGCTGGACCTAGCTCTGAGCAACCTGCTCTAAACAGAGAGAACTGCTGTCTCCAGAGGTCCTTTCTGACCAGCAACTTTTCTGTGACTCTGTGAGTCTCCAATTAGACTTGCTGGTGGTTCAAGCACAATGTAGCTCTTAACTACAGTCTCTGTGAGGTTACCTCTATAGGTATTTTCTGCCATTTGCAGGGAAACCTCAGAAATCTCTTTTAAGACAGAGTGTGAGCTGAAATAAAGAAGCCAAAATAATCCTTGTGAAGAAGATGCATGTATGTGTTCTGAAGGAATTGTTGACAGTATTACAATGTGTCTTCTGTTGTATAGCACTGGGGAAGCTATTTCAGTCTTTTCTTTCCTTTTTTTTTTTTTGAGGTTGGAAGGTCTGTGTAGTGCAACTATGAAAAATCATGTAGCACAGCTCAGTGATACTGGCCAGCAGCAGATGCTTAGAGTGCACATCAGCATGTATTGCTCTGTACTCTCCTGTGGCTCCAATGATAGGCAGCTTAGGACTTCATAAACCAGAGATCTTATTTGTGTCTTCATGTTTTACAGCCCTAGTTGAACTTTCCTGCCATGTATTTACCTGAACAGCTCAGGTTATTCCAGCTAGTACTTCCAGCCCCTCTTATTTACTTCTGGACAGGTTTTCCATTTCAGAGCTAATTGTATTCATTCATACAGGGCAACACAGGTGCTATAAATACATAGCATCAGCTCAAAGCAACACCCATTACAGTGCAGTGTGCTTCTCTGAGGTGTTTTGGTTCAGTATTCTTAATAGCATCTAATAAATGGCTATGCAGGAAATTGCTAGCATCAGCAGGAGAATACTGAGTTGTGCTATAAAATACATAGAAAAACGTGCTGATAATAGTGGGATATTTAAAGTTGTAAGTAGTGGTAGGAGCATAACAGAAAATCTCTACATTTCATTCTCTTTTGGATTTTGAGTAGTCCAGGTGTTCCAGGCATGCAAACATTGTTTACAAGGTTGCTACCACTCAGGGCTTGGTTCTGTTTTACTCTCATATGACTAGTTGCAGGCACTTGAACATGGGAGTGGAAGATACTAAAAAACAAAATAGCGTAGGAATTTTACCTAAAAACAGAATTCTTCTATCTTCCTCCTCAGGAAGTAAATTTAACTTTGCCCTCTGTTCTGTAGGAGGGGTGTCAGAATTCATAGTTTGATTCATCAGCTCCTTTGCTTCTTGTGGGTGTGCAGTGATTTCCCAACAAGATGGCTCTAAAGCATTTGAATTTTAAATTATCTGTAATGTGTCCTTGTGTTGTGAGAAAGACATTGTCGGTGCATTTGTTTAGACAGAGCTCACATAAGCTTTTGTATGTGTGGGAGAGGGAAGGAGAAGCTCTTTTCTATGGTTAAGCAAAAATATCCAGTTGTTGGGGAGGATAAAAGTTATTTCTGGAGAACTGCAAATGAGTCATGTCAGGCTTAATTAAATACTAAAATAACCTCAGAACATTTTCAAAGCACTAGAATTCTATATATTTTTTTAAAAAACTAATAGGCAGGAGGTACCCTTTTTGTAAAACAAACAAAGAATTATAGAAAGATTCAGATTGTAAGACCTCTGAAAGTCATCTAATGTAACCTCTTAAGAGGAATGCAAGAAGCCATTCAGTGATCTTTGTGTACAGTGTTCTTGATAAGATAAATCTCAGTGTAATCTTGACTACTGGAGTTCGACTTATGACTAGTTAAGGAAGAGTAAGTTTTGTTTAAAAGTCAATTAATGCTGCAAAGAGTCCCTAAAACAAGAGTGTGTGGGGGTCAGGCAAACCTCTGTGGTTTAAGTGTACTCTTTGTGTGGAACGGATTAGATAACATCCAGGCATCTCTTTCAGGGATACATCCATCTGAATTACCATTAATGATTTATTGACTCTTTGTAGTAAGCTCCCTAAGATTACACAAGATGAAAACAGTGTTAGGGGAATAGAATAAAGTGCAGTAAAATCCGCAGCTTTTTTGGTGTGTCAGATTAGCGACTGTTGTAACGCATGTGAGTGAAGTCTCTTATTCTTTGGTTGTGTTTTGGTCTTTGTTTACTTGTTTTCATTTGTTTTACAGCTTAACAAGTTTGAAATGAAGAGCCGGTTAATTCGATTTACAGCTGAAGATCCGCAGGATCTGCTTCTGCCAAGGGAAGAGGCCATCAGACTGAACACTGAAGCCTTCCGGCTGTGGGCAGTGGCTGCTGGTTATGGTCAGGCCTGTGACCTCTACCGGTACAGTCCAAAGCTGGAGAAGTGGAAATAGTGGGGGTGGAGAGCACAACTGAGGCATCACGTTCCAGAGGGTTGAATTTGGGATCTCTAGAATCAGTTGCTACTCCCTTCAGGGAGTCTTACCTCCCTTCCTCTGGCCTCCTGCAGTAAAATTCGGTTTCTGAAGGTGTTAGTGTTGAGTTCTTTTCTTTTTCTGGCTCTCTTTTATTTCTTGTGCTTAATCACTTTTAATTTATTCTTTCTTCTCTGTCCTGTGGGATAAACCTAAACTTTTTAGGACTACATCTTTTTTCCCCTCAGAGGCTTTTGAATCAGCTGTGCTTGTGTGACCTCAAGACATGCTGAGTGCAGCAGACCTAGGACTGAATATGATGTGCTAAAGGTAGTCTGGGCAGCAGTCCCCAGCATGTATGAAAATTGAGGCAGACTCGTGCAGACAAACTCTGCATCGACTCTCAGTTCAGTACAAAATTCAAGTTCTTGTACTTGAACTTCAAGGTCTGCTCTGGAATAAACCTGACCTTCCTTAAGCATTGAGTCTTCCTTGAAAGCATGGAGATAGCTGTGGAGTTCTCCTGAAGAGGAGTGGAGGAGAGGCCAGTAGTAATTGTTGGAAGGGAAATTCTGTTTGCAATAGCATTTTGAGTACAACAGTGTATTGGTTAATAAAGTAAAATGCAGTGTGTCGTTTCTTAGCATTGTAGATAATAATGAGGAAAGAGAAGCAGCAGCAGATTGCTTGAATTTGCATCATTACAACTGTGTATACTCTGAGCATTTGAAAACTAGAGGAAAAAAAGAAAATATTTTGTGTTTTTTCAAGAGTTGGTTGGAATCTTTGGAAGCAGGGTAGATTCAGCTGAGTTGGAAATGATAGAATTCTTTCTCATTTTTTACATGTCTGTTGATTGTTCTGTTTTGGAGATGTTGGTGTTTCTCATCTCATCTTAGCAACGTGCAATGAGAAGGTGTTCGGGGGGAAAAAGGGCCAAGTCCTCCCAGTGATAGCAGGAAAAGTACAAGGAGCAGTGTCTACAAATCAAGATGAAGGAAATTTCTCTTAAGTAAAAGGAAAAACTTCTACTGTGGAGATAATAACACTGGAACAGATTTTTCAGAAAGACTGGACTCTGTATCCTTGAAGATATTCAAAACCTAACTAGACATGTTCCTAGGCAAACCTGCTTTAGACGACTAAGCTTGAACAAGGTGTTGGACTACTTCCAACCTCATATATTTTGTATTTTAAACCGTAGGGATCTCTATCCTGTGCTGGTGAGGATACTGCAGTCCCTGCCTGAGTTGCTCAGCACTAGCCATGAGAAGAATCCCATGTTTGAGTTATCTGTCCAGAGAGCTGCAGCAGTGGTTACTCTGCTGGTACATGTGACACAAACTGCAGGATGCACGGTGGAGCTGCAGGCCAAACTGAGCAGGTGGGCCCTCTGTCACCTGTTTCGTGCATCTGAGCAGTTGTCTTGTATTCTCTTCAGTTGGGAGACCTGGCTTTACCCTTCTCTATTCATTCATTTCATATGGCGTGCTGTCCCACATGTGAGTCCCTGCATGGTGGGATGTGTTGCTTTTGACACGTGGACAGAAGAGGTAGATTGAAGACTGGTAGATAGCTATACCTGATAAGGGGGAGGGGTAAAAATCTGCATTTAGCAAAGCATTCCTGCCAGAATGAACTGGAGAACTCCTTTGTCTTTTCCTTCAGGGAAAAGGAAATGACTTCTCTGAGGTCTGGAGGAAAGAAGCTGTGGAGAACAAGATGGAAGAGGATTAAGAAAAGTGGGCTGTGGGTTTGCTAGTTTTATTGGATAAAGGGGTAAATTCAGTAAAACCAAAGCTTAGCTAAGGAGAGAGTAATGCAGGTGAAGAAACTTTAGCTTTCACGTATAGTTTCTCATTTGACTTTTCTGTCTAAAATGATTTGTTCTGGTCTGTGGGAATGTGTGAAGTTGTTTTTCCCCTAGTAGCTGTCATTAGTCATCCATCTTCCATGCTACATGTAACTAGAAATCTTGCTATTAAAATGGTATTTTAGAGAGAATTGTTTTCAAGGCATCCTCACTGTCCAGTGTCATTCTTCCGTTGTGTTTCAATAATAGCTGTGAAGACAGTGAACAGATTCCACCTCCTCCAATAACATGGAATCAAGTGTCAGGCTTACAGCCCTTTCTGGAGACCAGTATGAAAAAATTCCTGCAGGTGATATCTTGGACAGAAACTTGGCAAATTCTTCAGCCTCTGACCACAACTTATATGATCTACCTGGGAGTTTATTACAGTGCTTGCAGTCAACAGGTAAGGACAAAAAGCATAGGTTGTCTTTTCATGTCACCAGTATCCACTTCTGTATTACCACTGAAAACCTGGAAAAAAGAAAGGAAGGCTTTGAAGAGCACAGATGAGGACTAGATGTTGTTTGCCGCACCCGTTACCTAGGCTGGATGCTGATCTTTCACATTGGCAAGGCCAAATGTCACTGTCTTAATTTCTTCTGGGCTCAGAATCTCAATCAAGGAGTGTGGTAGTGCAATGACTCATTTGATTTACTGCAGAGATACCCAGCATGCAGTAAATATGACCTAATTCAGTTTGTCAGTCCTTCCTCCTCGTAGGCTAAATTAAGTTGCACATTTTTGCATTTGTGAAGGTCTGAGATCCTGCATGTGGACAGTTATTGCAAGAACCTTGTAGGAGGATAGAACACAGAGGGTCATACCATGTGAACTTTGGGCAGGAGGCAAAAAAGATGAATTTATTTACTGTCCCACCGACACTGAAAGTCAAATTCTGTAACCCGGTCACAGTTGCAGTTTGTAACCATCTTTTTAGCAGAGTATTCTGAAGGTGGCAAGTCAGTGCTATGCTGTTGAAAAAACAGTGTCTTATAGTTTTGCTACTTTAAAGATTCATGTTCTGAAGATAAGTGCAGGATTCCTCTTTACTGCCCAGCTGATATGCCCAAGTTCTGACCTGGGAGAGTTATCTTCAAGATGTGGGGATAATTTAATGCCTGTATTTATTCAGACCTCTCTAACTCCACTGAAATTTGTCTGAAACAAATGAATTTGTTTGCCTTGGCTAGGGTGGAAACTGCCCGTGTCTTTCAAAGATATCTTCAATTTTCCAAAGGTAGTTAGCTCCTTTGACCTGCTGTCATTAGGTCCTGATATTTAGAGACCCAGGAAGACCATTCAAAGAGATTAGTATTCCTTTTTACTCTCAATAGATGTTCCAGAAAAGCAGCTGACTAAATAATTTCTTAGGTCCTTGAACTGTGCCATATGAATTTTAACTTCCACTTAAAATAATAATAATAATCATCATCAGCAGCAGCAGCCTGTGGTTAAGATGATCTGATTTAAAGATAAAATAAAAATTACACATAGTGTATTTGAATGGATAAGAGGAAAAAAAGTAAAATTAGAAAAAAAAAATCAACCTGTATGGTTACTAGACTAGTGAACACAGGGACCTCCATGGGATGGTTTTCCTAGACTACAAAGAATTAAGGATAACATTTAGATTTTGCTGACTGATTTCTGGAGACAGCTTTCAACTGGGAGAAAATCAGATTTTGTTACAGCAATGAGTATTTCTCTAACAAAGGCAAAGTATAGTGAAAAAAGAAGTGCCAGCCTGTTCGTTCAATCTGGAATATTGCTTACTAGGGTCAGAAGAATTTGGATGGTTCTCTTAAAAAAACAAAACAAAACAAAACCACAGATCCTCCCCTGTACAGTGTTCATCCACAGCCTTGTCTGGATGGGTAGGTTAATTGCGCTCTATACAGCCGAATATTATTATTTTTATTTTTTTCCTGAGAGCCTCATGATGCCAGTTTGTTTTCTCAAGGTAGTCCTGATCACCTTTGTGTTGTTAAATGAGATCATCAGCATATAGGTAGAATGTTAAGAAGAGGGAATGTCAACCACATAGAGCAAATTTACATTTAGGGAATTTTCTCCCAAAGATCCCATACCTTACTTCCAGCCAAATAAGAGTTCTCTCTGATGCATTCTAATACTTGAGTATGAGGACACCTTGAGGTGCCAGCTCTCAGCTTCCATGCTCTCAGCAGTTAAGCTCTAACCTATAGCAGTGCTGTTATGTAGATGATGTGGTGTGTCGTAACGACATTAAAAAAGAACGTAACTAAATCAGTGTATTTTTGCATTCCTCTGTTTCCTCTTGTTTTATGCAGCCATCAGTCAATCCAGTTGACTGCTTGGAGGAATTGGAACGTTTGACATCTGAGGTGCTGCAGCCCCTGCTCAGCCAGCCAGCCATGCACAGCATGTGGGATTTGCTCAGGTGAAATTATTTCATTGCTTCATTTCTATACTGCGCGGTCAGGAGGGCAGGAAACACGGTGGTTCCAGGGGCTGGGAATCCACTCACAGCAAAGAAATTTTCTAATGTTGGCCTAGAATACATCAAAAAGTACAGTTATGTTTTAGATGATTTTCTCCCTTCCCACTTATGAGGTACACACGTTAAAAGATAAATATGTGTGATACTGAAAGCTGGATGAATTACAGTGCAATAAGGCTCTGTCTACACCCCTTCTTTGTCCTTTCTCTCCTCGCAACACAAAGCATCTACTGCAGAGGTTCTCCAGTTCCTCCTTGCCTACTGATACTGCTGCAGTGCCTGCCTCTCTACCCCTCCATGTAGCTGTATTTTGTTTTAATTTCAAATAGATTTTATCCATTCTTGACTTTGATTTTTTTTTTTTAGTTTCCCTGATTCAAAAACAAGAACAAAGCAATGTCAGTTTGAGTCCTTACATCAGTGGGAGTACATGCACCATTCAAATGCTGTGTATGAACTACTTTTATAAAATAATTTAAGTTCTTGCAGAGCTCCTTGAAAGGCCCTGCAGGACAGAAAGTGAAAGGCTGGATACCAAATTGTCCTTTCAGACATTTGGATAACATAAGTTTGATCTCGGGCTCTGGGCACTGTTCAGTGCTGTGGATGTTCCCTCTTTCTGCTGTAGAGGGAGCCTCACTACCACCCTACAATCAGTTCTCTGGAGAGAAGTAAACTGAGAAATTTGACTTGTATTGAGGGAAACATCCAGTCTTATGTAAGCAACACTGGAAATTTTTGATTTCAGATGATATTTGAATGCTCACCAATCTGGCTCATGTTCCTTCATGACTGAGAGCTGAGTTCTGAAGCTTCTAGCACCAAAGTTTCTGATGCACAAGGCTATATTTTTGCAGTGGCAGTTTTGGATATGAGCTGGCTTTTTGGCTTTGCCTGTCTGATAATTTTTGAAATGTCCGAAGTATGTGGGCAGCTTTATTAGCCTGGATTACATATGCATGTAGGGAAGTGTGCGTTTTTTTTAATAAAGGTCCAAAGCTTTCAAATGTTTGACACCAGAGGTGCATCATTGCATCAATATTTCTGCACATTGTGAACAATATAGCTGAAGACTAGAATCTGTGACAGCTCACTGGCATTAGTTTCTATGTGACAGTCCTTACTTGATGAGCTGTTGATACTGCTTTGTTTTTTCTCCTTTCTATTTTGCTGTCATTGTGGCTTTCATTTTGCTGCAATGTGTGGCATGGTTTGGATAGTAACATTCCTACAGGATAAATTTTCAGTAATACGAGTGCTTTTGACCTAATCTCTTTCGTTCTGTGTTCACACAGGCCATGTTCTGCTCTGTGCAACCCTCTGTCCTGTTCCCCAGCACCTGAATCTGTCTTCAGCATTGTATCTTTGAGTTGTACTGGAGGCAAACCTCCTCTGAGCCTAGTTGGCTCCAAGTCACCTTTCCCTTTCCTCACTGCCCTCCTATTTCTCATCAATAGCATCACCCATATTCACAAAGGACTAATCAGCAAGGTGAGAATATACTTTTTCACTATGAGTTCTATGTGAATGATAGCATGCTTTGGAAGGAGATCAGTATTTGTATCGTCCCACGTTATTAAAATAGAACTGGTGTGTTTTTAATGTAAAAATATCAAAGTACTTTCGAGAGGAATACTTTCATTTTCAGAACAGGCGAGTCTTTGAATTGCCATATCCACTTCATGCTGGGAAGCTGGGATTATAGAGCAGGTGCCAAATGATGATGCAGCTTAAAGGATGGAGTTATAAAGAACATTGAGAACAGTTAAACAACTGTTTGGCTGAACTAAAGTGTCAGATAATGAAAGAGAGATGGTTGGAGGATGTATAACAAAGAAAAATGAGATCAAACTAAACGTAAGAGGAAATTTCTTCCTTCTTCTGATATTGAACACGGGTGTGAGCACTGTGGCAGAAGTACAGATATTTCTCAGGCCATTTCTGAAAATCTTATAGCAGCCAACAGGAATTCTTAAGGGGAAAGCAGGAGATGATAGACATCAGAGACATCAGTGCAGACTGTATTAGTAATAGTTGTCTCCATTTCTGTTTCCTTTATAGTATAGCTCTGTGCTGAGCTTTGAAGGCCTGAAGGATTATCTGCATCAAAGCTGGCAGACTGCACCCCCCTCAGTAACTCCCGCATCTGCATGGATGCTGCGCCATGAGTATCATCTGCAGTACTTCGCTTTAGTATTGGCTAGGAAAATGGTATCCTTGCTGGCTCTTTCATTTCTTTCACTCCTGGAGTTGACTTCACTTTAGTTTCTCTAACTCTGGCAGCTGGTCTTTCCGCATAGCTGATCTAGATTTGGTCTTCTGCTGTCTTGACTATTCTGCTCCATGAGCAAGTAATATCTTTATAGTTACTGACGTGGGGATTTAGATCCAAAATACTTTAGATGGCAAAATTATATTTTTGCCTGTCTTTGGGCTAGAGTGAGAACAACTTTTCTAGCAAAACTCCTGAAAGATGTCTGTGTGAATGCTGAACAAGAATGCTGTTCTTGCGGTCCTCTTTCAGCCTCTCACTTTTCAGCGAGATCTCTCCCTCAGCTGCCTCCCCCACCATGGTCCTTGCTGATGCCTTGTTGACAAACAGTGGTTTTATCTGTTTCTTTCCTGTGCAGGCAGGCACTTGTCCGGATTACAGCCGTCATGCCTCGCTCTATCACTGTGTTGCCATGGCATTGCTGAGCCGTCTGTTGCCGGGGAGCGAGCATCTGGCTTATGAGATCCTGCTGGATCTTGCTTTTAATCCAGAGTTTCTTCTGTAAGCTGTGCTTTTTCTTTCTGTTTTTGTTTTCGTTAGTCTGATACATGGAAAGACTTGAAAATGATTAAAAAGCAGTTGTTGGCAATGGAACTTGGTCATGTTTTTTGACCTTCAGTAGGGCTTATTCAAATTTCAGGTGTTTGCTGGCGTATTCTTAAGTCATGGAGCCTCCTAGTCAGACCAGCAATGTAGTTGTAAACTTATCTTGGTTGTATCCATGTTGAGAAATATGACCAGTTTCTTTTGATCCCCTCAGAGGCAAGAGTCCAGTGATTTCTGGTAGAACTCATTTTCACTAAGGTCCAGCATCTACTGCACTGATGGTAGCGAGGCTAAGAAACACATGGGATCCTGACCTATTCTGAAAAACTTGTACAGTAAGGGTTAAAAGGAAGGCTTAGCAAGTTCTTACAGACTTTTTTTTTTCTTATTTGATTATGATGTATTCTCCACATTGTATTAGAAATAATATGGAGCACCTCAAATGTGACACATCCTCCATCTGACCAAGATGGTAGCAGTTTATTTTGTTCCTCACAGTCAGCTACAAAGAAATACCATACATCTCCAGCAAACTTTCCTTTAAGAAAGGAAAGCTTCCCCACACCTCCTTGCAGATACTTGCTATATGCCATTTTGCAAAAGTTTGGCAAGTAATCTGAGACCATGATAAGTGTGTGATCTGAGACTGTGGCACACAAGCTTGACAGCTCCTCTGCCTTAATTTCTTTTTGCCAGTCTGTGTGGTTCTTTTTACTGTGCAAAGCTACCACTATAGGAGTTGTCCTATTGACTCAAGGTGTCCTTATATGATATACAGTATTTCACTTCAGCACCCTGACATCTGTTCTGGTAGGTAAGTTGTCTCCCTAGACATAGAATTGCACCCTCCTCACCAGACCACTGGCTTTCTGTGGAAGTTTTTCATTTTATTTTTATTTTGTATTTATGTTGGTAGTTCCAAGTGTAGTTCTATGAATTTCCTGTAGATATCAAGATAATCCATGCATAATGTGTTTGGGATTTTCTTAACTGATGTCTGCTTTTACTTTACAGCGAAGGGAAAACTGGAGGGCCAGAAGCAGCTGACTTTTCTGATATTTTGCATCTGGGTACCAGTGCCAAACTGTCACAGCCTGGCTCTGCAGCAGCATCTTTTTCAAAGCCTACTCGTGGCGCCCTGCTGAGAGACTCATACCAGAATCTGCCTGCCATCCGCTCCTGCTACCTCTCTCATTTTGTTCACTTGCAGCCTGCCCTTGTACATTCCCAAGCATCCTACCAAGGACGTAATTACCTCATCCAATCAATGCTGCTTCCTGAAGTCAGAGGGCCCATCCTGCCTTCAGACTGGCCGTTCTTTCCACTTATCAGCCTCTACAACAAAGTGACTAATGCAGAGACGCGTGGGGCTGTGCTGAACTCTCTCCCACTTGATCTAGTCAACACTGTGACCTGGAACCTTCAGTGGGTCTTGTTGCTGGAAACTTGGCGTCCTAAAACCCTTCAGACCATCCCTACTGCTGCCAAACTTGCACGACTTATGTGCATCTTCCTCACAGGCGGTGACCTCTTTCTAGAAGCACCAATCCACTGTTACACGGCTGCACTTCTTTCTGTGTACTGTCAGCCCAAGGCTCTGGACTCTCTGAACTTGGATGCTCCACTCCCTGGTTTGGCGTCCTTCCATGATCTCTATATAAGTCTGCTGGAGCAGTTTGAAGGTGTCTCCTTTGGAGATCCACTCTTTGGAGTCTTTGTTCTTCTACCTCTGCAGAAGCGTTTCAGCGTTCACCTGCGTCTCTCTGTTTTTGGGGAGCACACAAGTATCCTGCGGGCACTGGGAGTGCCCCTCCAGCAGGTAATCATGCTTTATGGTTGTTGCCTGCACACTTCTGAGATACTGGGCTCTTGCCTGTGTTTCTCCAGCCCTGTTTTGGTCATTCTTCCAGCACTACTCAGTGTCCAGTAGAATTCTCATTCTTCCTTCATTTTCTTCACTTACAAGTTCTCCTTGAAGAAAGTCCAGTGCATGGAATGTAAAATGAAGTAGGAATGGAGAGCAGTGAGTTTTTTGTTTGTTTTTTTTTTTATTGAGATACATTACAGCAGTGTATCCTGTTGGCTTTTTTTTTTTTTTTTTTAATGGAAGGAGGGATTTGGAGAGGGAAACAATGTTATTGATTGTAAGTCTGGAGAATAGTGTCCAGTTCCTGTAGATTGCCCTTGTTAAAGAATCCTTTCAAGAAAGATTTTGAACTTAGTTTTGGGAGCTGATAATACATATAACTTGAAAGGTGGGAGCTATGAGATTGTTCAGTCTTCAGTGGATGCTGTCCCATGTCCTGCTTGGTCGAGTGGCTGAGAAGCTCCTAATTTATGACTGCTATGTATGAAGGGCTAGTTGGCACCCCATGCTTTTCTTGCATGAGTTACCTTTCCCTTAACTTTTCTCTCAGCCTGGTGAGAATCTTCCTATGCAGTGCATGGGCAAACAACATTTTTCTTCTCAGACTGTGTTTACAGTTGGCTATACTGGAGTTGTGCTTGACTGGGTCACTAGGTGAGAAAGTTTTATCTGTAAAGTGCAGGAGTGCATTTCTTTTGAATGAGCAGAGCAAAAAAGATTGAGTTAATCTGGCTTTATGTTCTTTGTCACTTGCCAAATAGCAGATGATGCCTGATTTAACCTAAAGTTTGCTAATACAAAGACAACTTTTGAAAAAAAAATAAATAAATTGTGAATTAGCAGTTTTTTGCCTCATGTGATTGCAGTGCTTTTGTCCTGGTTGTAGTGGCCCTGCAGCCAGTTTTTCTATATTGTTACGGCCAGATGAGCCTTAGTTTCTTAAGCCAAGTAAGCCAGGATTCTCTGGCCTGCTTTTGTGATAAGCTCTCTGTACTCACGGTGCTTCCAGTAGCCCTTCCCTATGTATGTTCTAGTTTCATCGGAGCAAAATCAATGTAGAGGGAGATGGTTTTTTTTTTCTTTTGTTTTGTCTTAAGATATGTTTAACTTACCTTAGTGAGCAGTAAAAAATTTTAGTAATATTGCCTTTGTCGCCAAACGCTAAAAGTTCAGCATAGTTGCTGTGTTTGCACTGAAGACTGTTGCTGAAATGTGTAGAATCAATGATTTTCTTTAGTCTGGCAAAGAAAATACTTCAAAGTGAAATACGTAACATTAGACCTACAGAACTTGTGAAAACAGAGAAGGTGGCAGTTTGGATTTTGGGAGAATGGAGAAGTGAACAAAACTAAGTTGTTATTGAAAGTGATTCTAACCTATTTTTCAAAGTCAGACAGTGAAGTCAGAAAATGTTGGAAGTTTAATTTAACAGCAGCATTAACTCTGGCATATATATCTGCTTTCCTGTTCTTGCTAAATGCATAGGCTGTTGTAAGTCTCTCCGATACATTAGCAGAAGATATAGTGCTGCTGAAAGCACTTCGTCTTTTCACTTTGAAACACCTTTTCCTACCTGTGCCAAAAAGCAAGTACCATCACTTGTCTGCTAAAACACTTATCTGTAAGGCTGAAGAGATCTTGAGGGCACTTTGTCAAAGGCATGTCACATCAGTCAGCCTGGGCAGTAATAGTCCTGCTCTGAATGGGAATTGTGCCAATGAAATGTATTGTGTTACATGGCAGCATGTGCCTTAACAGCTGGGGAATTCCTCACTGCTTAGATTCTGCCACAGAAGGTAATGTTGCCTTTTGGGTGGGTTTCTTGCAGTTTCCTGTGTCTCTCGAGCGATACACTTCCCCTGCTGAGGATAACTTGAACCTCCTGCGACATTACTTCCGAACACTGGTCACAGGTGCACTGCGCAGCACCTGGTGCCCCGTTCTTTATGTGGTGGCCGTGGCTCATGTGAACAGCTTTATTTTCTCCCAAGACGTCACAACTCAGGTAGGTAAGGAATATCAGTGCTTCAGGGCTGGGAGCTTTGGATTTTGCACCTGGTATTCCCCAGTAACCATAGTGATTTGTTGATGGATCACCCGCCTTGGACTTGAAAACAAAGATTATAAGTATGGCTAGAGGATTGTGCAGTTGTCTGAGATCTGAAATTTGGAATCCACACAGGAGACAGTAGACAGCCACTGTTGTTTGTAATATCCTGAGAAGCTTGCACTAATCATAGCCAATCCTACAGAAACAGAATGTAAGCATCTATGGGTGAATGTATAAAAGGAAAGAATGAAGCACGTGTAATGAAATTGCTGACCATGCAGAGAGGGCTTGTAATAGTCTTAGCCTCTGCCAGGGACAGTCTAAAGGTATGGAGTGTTTTTTCCTTTTACCTTCTTTGAATAACTCGCTGCCTGAGTTAACCAAGCAGGAGCCCTACCGTGGTCTCAGATCTCCAGCACTGGTTCCTCCTGCTAACTCTTTTCTCCTCTGATCTACAATTCTACTTGATTGTTGAGATGTCAACACGGGAAGGAGGAATGGGAAGGACCCAAGAGTTTGCCACCTTAAAGCTTTTTTGATAGAACATGCTGTTCTTTGGACCATCGTCTTAATAAGTATAGCATTGTTCTAGAGTGCTGCAAGGCCTGTGGGCAGAGATGGCATTGTGCTATATTAATTGAAGTTTATGCTTTGTTCTTAGGAGGCTGATGCTGCTCGGAAAAGCATGCTGCGAAAGACTTGGCTCTTGGTGGATGAGGTAAGATCTGTAAGGATCAATGTGTACCATTGAGGTTTTTCAGGCATGGTACTTCACAGATTTGCATTTTGGCTTTTGAAATTGTTGTTTATCTACATTGCTAACTTGAGAATGAAGAGATTGGCAGCAGGATTTCAACATACGGTATCTACCAGTAGTGTTATCTAGTTCTTGTTACAATTAAACTCAACACAATGAGCCCTCTGGAACATAGATTAGTGATTCTGTGATTCTATGAATTTCTTCTACTCTATTTCCATGCTCCTTGCCTGAGCAGTTTTTTCTGTGTAGTGTTAGATCCTACAGGGCTGGTTCTAGCACAGCTATGAACAGGCAGCCAGCACAGACCTCCCTTAACATTTAGTTGAATTCTTCCCCCACAGAAGAACTAAACAGATATTAAGTTTCTACTTTTCACCTTTCCATCCTGCCTTACCATACCAGATCTTGCTGAAGTTTATCATTTGTGTAACATAGCTATGTAATTTTGTTTAGTATTTCAGTCCATTGTTATAAGTTCCCACTCAAAACCCCATTTGGGCTTCTTGCAGGGGACTGTTGAGAGAGATTGTTGAGGAAAGAGTTCAGAAGAGGAAAACTCATGCAAATCAAAAGACTTTCTTTGAAGAAACTGATTATTTTTTTTACAGCTCTTCTGTTGAAAGCATTGCAATTAAATATGTTGGATGTGGTAGTTGCATTGTCTGTCATGTTTACTTTGTTATGTCAGAAGTAGGAGAAAAGATTAGATTTGTACTTTTAAGACACGTCTAATGGCTGCTGTTTCTCTCCTCAGACCTTGAAAAAGCACCTTCTCTACTACAAACTGCTGAATGCAGAGAGCCCTTTGGGCTTTGACCTTTATGAGCAACTCCCTCCTATACGACTGAAGTACCTGCAGATGGTGATGCAAAAAGACAATAAGGGGAATGCACCAGTGCTTATCTCATAGCTAAACACCTATAGAAGAGGACAGCTAGGGGGAAGAGCAGAAGAAAATGATGCTTCACTGATGAGAATATGCAATTTTCAGATTGTTGAAGTGTCTTTCTTTGACACTTGTGGAATCTCTGCAAAGTGAAACAATGATAGAGTGCTCCCAGCCCCGCTGCACAGCACAGATCTTCTCAAGATATGGCAATATGTGTATGTGGTCTCTTTCTTATGAATGCTAGAGCATTTTCCAGAATACTCTTTCAGATTGTTCTGCTTCATCCTGGAGGAGGTAAAAATGTGTCTGAGAGACACTGGACTGATGAATAAACAAAAAGAACTGGAAAAACAAACAACGTTTCATTGATTCCAACAGGGGATTGTGAATTCTTATGATGATGTCTGTCTTCCTCTTGCTTGTTTGTGTCTTGGATTTTGAGTGGTTCCTTTCCCCCGCAGTTCCCAGCAAATAGAGTAACAACACGGGAGGAAAAAACTGATTTCTGTGAGGGCTTTGTTTGTTTGTTTGTTTGTTTTGTATGATTTTGATTCTCCAAGATATTTCTTGAGGATTGTATTCTGTGCACATTATCAGTCAGATTTTATTGTGTCATACCTTTAACAAACAACAGATCCTGATGCAGTGGTCATTCTACCTTGGTTGTCTTTTAGATAGCCTCTAAACTGCTTTCTTTTCTCCCTTATTTAGTTACACATATAACAAGATCTGAAGTAATTTTGTTGTAGGCAGAATATTAATCACTCCCTATTAGAGGAAAAACAATCTGATTGTTTAACTAAAAGGTTCATTGTTTCCCTTCTGAGGAAAGGAGAATGTAATTCAAATTCTGAAGCAGAGATCCTAAGTTTACATCTTTTTTTTTTCTTTCTTAAAAAAAGCTTACTTGATCCCAATTTTACATGCAAACTCAGTACTGCAGCCTCAAACACGAGGACTACAAATGTAGTGCCCTACAAGACTAATCACGTGTGCCAGGTCAAGCCCAGAATTTACTCTTTAAGTGTAATCTCAGTGAGGTGGATGTTTCACTTGCATCCAGTCGTTCTTGTAGAACTACAGTCAGTCTGGCAGGCTTTTGTTTGTAGAACTTCTATGAACAAAGCTTGTTATTTCTTTTCCATTGTTATTATGCATAAAATCCTCTGGGAGGTGCATAGTGATGCCTATCCTAAAGACTTCAGATTCTCTCAGACTCATCAGACAATTTTCTAATTCTACCAGTACCCCTTAGGTTAGAAGATAAGTTTCACCTTTTTTGTCCCCTTATTTCAGATAGAACATAGGTGTAACTGATGTGTGATTTTAATTGTTTTTTTTTCATTGTTGCTGTTTTTCCTATTGCAATTTTTGGTCTGCTGAGGTTAATAGCACGTAATGTAATAAAGTACCAAGTAGTCAACTGTGACTTTTATTGTTAAATTGTTTAAAAAATATTTTATGTGATTAAAAGTTCAATTGAAGGCATGCAAGTTTTCATTTTAGATGGTTTAAGTCCAAGCAGCTGTCTTTGGAGAGTAATTGCACAGTGAAATTTAAGGACTTCTAGATGCCCACTTAAGGACTGCCATCAGCAAGGAATTCATCTTCTGCTCTTCTGAAGTCCAGTTTTTAAAAACCTCTTCCAGTCCTTTGTGTGATGTGAAGTTGAGTTTTGAAATCTATATGAATATAAATGAACATTTTGATAGTTCTGTAGTTTTTGTGTAACAGTGAGAATGCTGTACTCTTTATTTAAACCTCTTTAGTTTCATAGCTCTGTCTGCAGTTCATCAATACATTCAGAGTGCCACATGCTGAGGTGGGGTGAGTCACTACCTGCCAAATGTGTGTACATGGTGCAAGGGAAAGCAGTAAAAAAAACTTGTGTGTCAGTGGGAAAGCAGTAAAAAAACATAAAATTGTTCACAGATAATATTTGGAGATAAAAGGAAGAGGTGTAATAAATCTATTCTGTGAACTCTGAGGAGGAAGGGATCAGGTTTTGAAAAGTCCTCTCGTTCCCAAATGCTTCTCAAGCCATCAGTGTGTGCCCACAAAATACTTCTGACAGGATTCTGTAGCAGGCATCAGAAATATAAGGAAGAGATCCCAAACAGCTCTGTTGTCATGCTTATTTGCAGAACATTTTAAGCATGTTGTGTGTTAGCCATAAGACTTCAAAACTTTGGCAATGACTGAGACAGTACAGCAGCTCTAAGCTTGAAATTTGTAAGGCTTTTGGGAGCCTTCTTCCAGATTTCTGTGCAGAACACTAGAGGGCATTGCTTTCTCTAGTTTAAATACAGACCTTCACACATGCAGCAAAATTGGTACTAAAACAAAAAACCCTTACACTTAGTTTGAACTTCCTGCATTTTTGAGTACACTGTGGGAGAAAATGCGGAAAATTCAGTGAACTTTCACGTGAGGGATCGCTAAGAATTGCCTCTGGAAGAAACAGTTGATCTGCGTGACCCCCAGTGCAAGTGGTTTGAATTCCCTGGGCTGGGGTCTGGCTTTGATGGCATGGCCTGCTTCTGCTGAGCAGCTCCCAGAGAAACAGGCAGCTCAGCAGCAGTGCTCCACGGGTGGGAAGGACTGAGCCGTGCAGGAGAGAGCTGGGCAAGAAATCAAAACCCCAGTGTAAGAAGCGGTGTTTGGGATATTTAAGACAGTAATGTAACCATTGTATGTTGCATTGTAGTTGCATTCTACTGTATTTATTGACCACTTTCTTTTGGCTGTTGAATGTAATAATCCATTTATTTATAATGTAATAATCCATTTTCTGCCTGGCTACCTATTATTAGGCAAATTCTGAAAATCTTTTGCTCTTGAAGCTGTGGAGATACGGAGCCAACTGTAAGTTTTGGGTGTACAAATACACTGCAGGTCCCACATACATCTCTTACTGGGTCAGACAGCAGAAACACAGCTTTTGCTCTATTGCAGTTCTATGGCATTCTCTTAAAGATCTCTGCAACAGGCTTGTGCCTCCAGCTCAACTGAATTTGGGGCAAAATATGTTTTCTTCTCGTTTTTGAAAGTTCATCCATTCCCTCCATTTACAGAGGAGGCCCTCTGATATTCCTTGTATAAATAACTTAGGGGTAATTTACTGGCCTTTGCCCTTGTTTTCAGAAACTTTGACCAGAGGACCCCCTGTAGAGACATCCCCTCTGTGCTCCCTGCCTCTGAGCGGTCGCTGTGGTGCACAGGCTGCTAATCAACGAAGGTCATTTTAAACCAAGCAACACCTGCTCTGCCTTTGGATCAAGTTAATTTTTTGTCGAAGCACAGTCAGCAGATACTGGCCACCACCTGGCTCTGGAGACCACCTGGGAGCCCTGCTGACCCCCCCCACACCCACGTGCAGCTCCCAGTGCAGAGCTGAGGGGGCTGAGTGGAACTTTCCAGAACGCCCTGAGTGGTGCCAGCTGCCCCCAGGGCGGCCCCCACACAAAGGGGAGGCAGCTGCAGCGGGGCAGGGAAGCAGGGGCACCTGAGCTTTCAGTGAGCTGTGGAGGGGTCGGCAGCAGAAGCAGGAGGAAAGCGCTGCACTTCTTCCATTTTTTTTCTACTTCTTGGTGTGTGGAATAGCTGGTGGAACTGCGGACGCCGTGAGCTAGGTTAGTAGCGAACTACGTGTTTTGTGTGGTGGGCTCTGGGCTGCTGTGTGCCTGGCAGGCAAGGAGGAGGGCACCTGTGCCTTCTCATTGGGGTTGTGGAGGATTTTGTGCTGCTGCGGTGATGGTTGTGTTTCTGGGCTGTGCTGGATGTCACCTCATGCTTATCCCATAGGACGAAGAGAGTTACATAAGCTCTCCAGCACGGTGCTCGCCCTCATGTCAGTGAGGCCATGCTTTGGGGTGGTTTGCAGGGCTCTGGATGCACAGAGGGGTTCTAGCAGGCCTGGGCACTCTCTGCCAGGAACAGCCTGGTCCTAGCAGCCAGAGGACCCAGCAAGGCAGGGGAACATGGATGGTGGCTCAGTTTTTGGTTGTGTTCTCCCTGGGCTTCTTGCAGAGCTGAGGTGGTGGTTCTTTCCTCTCTCCTATGTCCCTCTCTTTCTGTACTCCTCTCTTGAGCTTCCTAGCTGTCTTTTATCAGGATTTCTTTCCCTTTTGGTCTTCATCTTTCTGTTTTTAATTGCCCTCATTCTTACTGCAGCTTGTACCTGCTCTCATCTTTTCTTGCTCCTGTGGCTGTGTGCAGAAGCACTCAGTAGCACAACAGTTTAACTGGAGCACAAAGGTGCTGCTGCTGAGTTCCAGGTGGTAGCTCAAAGGTCTCTTGTCTGAAGATCTTGGCAGATACCAATAAATACTTGTGATGTGCCTACATGGAAGTCTTAGGAGAAAAAGAGCTATAACTTTAAGGTTTAGATTGACTACTGTGTAAGTGGTGTAGGCACTGCACCATTTGGGTCTGTTCTGTCAGAGATGTGATGACACTTCAGTAATTAATCTGTTATGTTTGTCTGTTAAAGGGAAAACTGAAGCTTGTGAATTTAGTGACTTTTCTATTTTTGCTTCCACAGTCAACTTTTACTGCACAAAATCAATGAGCATATCTCTGAAAACAATGGTTTAGACTTCTTTTAGTGCAGATGGGCTTTTGCTAGCAGCTTCCCTCACTGTGTGCATTCAGCATGGTTTTTGATCTTTTTGGAGTACCAGGGCATACAACCGTAGGATTCTTAGAGTTGGAAGGGACCTTCAGAGGTCATCTCGTCCAAACACCTGCAATGAACAGGCATGTGAGGAGCTCTCAATTACTTCCAGGTGTGTGTTGCTGGTAGTGAATTGTAGTTTCAGGCAGGGTTGATCTGTGTCACACTGTGAAGATGCTATGACAGCCGTGCTAATGTGCTGTGCAGCAACTGTCAAGTTATTTGTTAGCATTCTTCACAGGAGATCAGCTCGCTTCTCCTGGCATCAATATTTCTTTCGTATAGATTATAAAAATTAAATATAGAGTGATACAAAAGTTTCTCTGTTAAAGTATCATGCATCTCTTGTCTGACATGCATGTCAGCTCACTCACAAAATCTTACTGCACACCACAGATGGCAGCTCATTTTTGTTCCTCTTGGTTCTGTCTCCTCTAAGATTGATCAAGTTTGGATCGATGAAATATATTTGGGCAGAAGCTGCCACTGCTTTCCCACTGTCTGTCCACTGATAAAAGAAGTGGGAGGAGCATGGGAATGTTAAGTGAACTTTCTAGTGTGATTCTGCCTTTTTTTCTTTTTTGGTACTGTTACATGTTATTTCTGGAGGAAAGTGTGGGCTTGCTGACCATTCTTTTTTACCATGAGCTCTCATCAGCAAGTTTTACTTTTTATAGTCATCTCTGAAGCTCAGATTTCAGTGGTGGATTATTACTTATTTTTGTTAAAGGACAATTTGCAAGCTAAAAGTGGGATTCAGCACCTGGATATCTCTATTCAGCAGCACTTGTAGACAGCTACTCCGGCTCTTCACCAATCAAGTGGTTTTGCTGTCAGTGTACACTGGTGCCATAACAACCCAGCATTGTACTGTTGGAAAAAGTAGTGGGTGCACCCATGTGTGTTTTGCAGAACTCCTCTAGAGCTACTGTGTAATTGTCAGTATTCTCGTGGGGGCAACAAACTGATTGCCTGCCCACCAGTTCTTTCTGCTACCAAGTAACTCTAGAGGTTAAGAAACAACTCTTAATATTGTAACTTACCTTCTCCTTTGAATCGGAGGTCTTTGCTTACTGGTTTCTGTAAATATTTATTTTGGTCCTTCTTATAGTTCACTGCAGATGGAAGAAACAAGAAAGCCTGTAGCTAGCATGGAGTTTTTGGCCTCTGTTTAAACAGAAAAAGCAATTTTATAGCCATTTTAAACCCTTGCCAGGAACATGTGGTTTCTGGTCCAAATTAGAGAGAAAATACGATGCGCTCTTGAAAAAACAATAGACTGAGGTTAGGGTAATCTCACATGATGTAGGAGATCCCTGGGAGAGCACCCCCAACTACTGGGTTGACAATTGCTCTGATGCAGAACGTTTTCCCAATTTGCTGATATTTCCACCTTGTTCTCATGCTACACTGAACTTTGATGGTGTCACATTGTACCTAAAATCAAATTCTTACTTAAGGGTTCATCCTTACCAAATCTTTATGAAGAATGAATTAGCATAGGATCAAGGTTCTTAGAGTATGATAAATGTAGTTATTGGTTTAGCTCAATCTTTGCAATTTAGGTAACCACATATTACTGCATTGAATTGTATGAAATCAGTAACTGGAAAATATTCCCATTCTCCTTACTGCATACTGTAAGCTAAACATTGCTGGTGCCTTTCTGACTCATCGGCTTTGCCACCTGTGTGAGAGGAGCAAGAATGAGTGAGTGTGAGGGAGTCCTGTTTGGGGATGGGGGTGTAATCTGG